TTTCCATAACATCTCTCTGTTTCTCCACTCCAGGGTTTTCTCCAGAGCACTAGGATATTGCTCAGCCTACTCACAGCCAAAGCTCACAAGTGCAGGGGAGTTAATGCCCCCGGAGCAACTCTCAGGTGTAGGATGGAGTCAGGGGATGAAAGTCTAAATCTCCTGTCACTTGGAGGGAAAATTCTGAGGTTTGTTCTACACAGTTCATTAGAGCATCTCCAGTAGGACCGAGTTCTACTTTCCAGAATAATAGCCAGATCAATGACATACTACCCTTCATTAGCTTTCCTTCAGAACCTCCTAACTTCTTCACTCTTTCTGCTCCCACACTCTGGTTTCCCGGGATCACCTCTCAAACAAATGACCTGTTTTTGGGGGAGGGGGAACAAACTAATTCAAAATTTCTGTTGCCTTTTGTGAATTTATAAAAGCAATCAATTTTATTTTCAATTGGTTTATTAGAAAGAAATTGCATATTATTTGAAAATGGTGCAAAAACAGACAACAGACTAGTTAGTGAGGTGGTCCTGGTGAACAGATTTCTGATCCAATAAAACCCACTTTTAAGATTGGCACTTCTCTGTTTTGGCTTCTTGTATGTAAAATCCTCACACAAAATTATGTTTTCTAGAACATAGAGACTTATTCTATATTTGTAACAGAGCCCTAATCACTCTTTATGTTCATGGCATTATTTTGAATTACAGTATGTGTCCCTGTTGGTATAGTATGCCTATTTTTATCACTTTTATTCTTCAGTGAACCGCTTTTGAACCACTGACTCACATTTGTTATTGGGAAGGTAAAGCAATACCAGAGTGAGCAGTACGGTCTTCTGGAAAGCAGATGCTGAAATGGGATTGGAAGTGCAAAGGTTTATTGGGGGCAATAGCTGTGAAAGAAAAGAGGGGGAAGGAGGATTTGGCAAGAAAATCCTCAATCCATGATGGAGATCTGACATCTCTGGAAGGAAAGGCAGTGGAGAGGAAGCAGGATTAGGCAAAGAGGTCATCTGACCACAATGCAATTCTGACAAAGTCTCAGCCAACCCAATAGGGAGCTCCAGAGCAAAAATTTCCAGTTACAAGAATCCTAGGCCTAGCACTCACACTATGCTCAGTTGTGGCTAGAGGGTGGCGGCCCAGAAAGTGTTCCTCTGTTCAAAGGCCAAGGCAGACCCTGAAGGTGCCAACAACTGGAAGCTGTGCATTAAACTGCACTCTTTGAAGCTGAATGGCAAACTCTTTCCTGAAGGAAGATCCAAGCAGCATACCTCCATGGCTGCCACAAATTTAACGAATTTAAATACCAAAAGGAAAACGACAAGATAAATTACCTCAGATGAACTGCAGCCTATTAATCGAATGCAAAGTGAGATGCTCTGACCACAGAAATCCTTGTAGCACATGTACAACCTTTTAAAACATAAGATTTATTAATAAAGTGGTAAGCTTTTAATACAAACCATAAGTAATAGCACATTTTAATTCTGCAAACTGTGAATAAAATACCATCCCTGCCTTTCTCTGACCATTAGATTCTGGTAAATACCAAACTTAATGTATCCTATCCTTTTTGCTAGCTATTGGAGGAATAACTGTAACGTAAACTTTGGCTGACCCATGAATGCTTGGTTGACATATGAAGGACCAGATTTCTCACCAACTTTCATAGCTTCACTGACTACATATATCCAGATGACTTACTGATCATATCACCAGTCCAGACCTCTACTTTGAGCTTCAAATTCATGTATCCAACTGCCTACTTCTCTTGGTTTTCCCAAAGGGACTTTAAGTTCACCTTACACGAAACTGAACTCATGTTGCTTTCCTCAATCCTAGTTCTCATCCAGCATCTTCTATCACAATAGACAGCACCACCACTGGACCAAAAATGCCCCTACAGAATCAGAATTAGCCTCTTTCTTTTCCTTAACACCATTTCCAAAGTATCAACATATCAACAACTGCTATTTTTCACCTCCTAAATCGCTTTTGAATCTGTCCATTTCTCTCCATCTCTTCCACCACTGTCCTAATCAAAGTTATTATTTCTCCTATTGTGTCTACAATAATCTCCTAGCTGGTCTATCCATATCCACTCTGCCCACCTACTCTCTCTCTTCTCTATATTATAGCTGGATCAATTGTACAAAAATGCAAAATATGACATCACCATCCTTCATTCTTATACTGCTTTAGACTTTATGTTTCTGCCTTTAAACTCATGCATGGTTTGGTCCTACCTATCTCTTGGGTCTCACCTTCCTCCACACTTCCCCAACATCTCTTCCCTATACTCCATACTCTGGCTGCATGGACTTTCTGATACAACCCTATACTTGCTAGGATCTCTTCTCCCAAAGGAACTTAGATATGCTCTTTGCTCTCCCTCAAATATTCTTTCTTACTCCACTTCATCTCATGAATTTCTACTCATCCTTTGATATCAGCACAAACTTCCTCAGGAAATCTTTGAGTTTGCTGACTAGGTCAAGTTCCCCTGTGATAAGCTTTTACAGCACCAATTACTTTCCCTTATCGCATTTATCACAATTGCAATTTGATATTTATTTGTAGGACTACTTGACTAATGTCTGTCTGTCCTATTAGAATGTAAACTCCAGGAGGGCAGAGCCTGTGTTTTGTTTGGCTCTCCACGGTATCCTCAGAACATCACTTGACTCATAGTTAATGAGTTATATTTATTGCATATTGGGCATGCAATAAACAAGGCGCGAGTGTTCCATAGGAAATTACAAAATGTAAATTTGGGAAGCTGCTCCATCTTAGAATGGCTTGCTTGAAAGCTTTTATCCATCCACTCAATGGGGTATAGTCAGGGCATGGGAAGTGATAGTTCAAATCTTGCAGCACTGATCCCAGAGGTCATACGCTCCATCTATTCGATAAATCTGTACTTGGAGGCTCCAACCTTGACACTGTTTTCTACTTAATTATTATCTTCTAAGTATTCTCTTAGCCTCAAATTTAGTCTTAACATTTTTACATAATGTTCTTTTCTATCATCACTGTAGACTTATAGATGTGAAATTCCCCAAAGAGAGGTCATAATTTATTGGGTGACTAAACCTTGGAGAAAGGAAAAATCACAACTTTTAGGGGATATTTGGAATCTAGATCCGAGTTTTCTTAAATTATTAAAAGTGCAGATAACCACTACAGTGGGTTTGTTAGGGCAACAGTTTACTGTGGCCGACTGTAAAAAGGTGTTCTAGTTTAAGTTCACCGTTGGGACCCCAAACTCACCATGTACTCATTTGCCCACTATGAGGGTGCTTGGTTGGGATAGAAATTCTCAGCATGTAGCAGAATCTCCACATATCTTTTTTGAGACACAAAGTAAGGGCTATTAAGAAAGCAATGACCATTGGGAAGCTATTTGGACTCTTCCTCTCCTTTTAAATATTAAGTCAGAGGCAAGACCACTTTTTCAGAGGGAAGTGCAGACATTAAGGCAATTATCAAAACTTTTGTGAGATGCTGGCCAATGATTCTTATCCCCATTCAATTCCTTAATATGGTTGGTCAATGTGAAAACCGATACAAACTCCAACTGCATTTTCCAATTCCCACAGTGGCCTCATTCCTAGAACAGATGAATAAAAGTTCCTGACCCCGTCCTGCAGTTCTGGATTTGTGGATCGTGTACTATGTTCTTGCTCACTTGGGCTACCAGGAACACTTTGGTTTCACCTGGCAGAAGCAAGTTTATTAATTCTCTGCCGCAGTGCCACAATCTAGTTGTCTGGAGTCGTGGCAACCTGTCCTTCCTCCTAGGACATGAAACTGACCCAATATATTTACAACCTCAAGCTGATCAGTCTTGAAGAACAGCAAGTGGCACTGCCCTAGCTGTCTTGGGAAGGAATAAAAGTACAAGCTAAATCTCTAAGAAATCAAAGAACCTACATTCTCTGTTAAGTCCCAGGAAGGAGATGGGGGGAGGGGGTTTCCAGTGTCAAGGACATAATATTCTCCCTAAGTGGACAAGTTGTTGCACACAATACTAAGAGAGAATCTTTTTGGATCTTGGAATCAGATTTAGATAGCATTTGTGTGTCCTCTGATCAATTAATAGGTAACACAGAAATCTACCCCACAGCAGAGTAAGAGAAGGTTTTCTGGCTGGTCTAGTTTGCAACACAAGTGGCCCTGCTAGCTAGCTTGATGACCACACTGATTCAATAGTGTCCAAGATGCATGAAGCAGACCACCAGGGTATGAAAAGGTTGCTAAGCCTCAAAAGTAGTATTATTCCAGGGGAGCCTGGGGCTTTGGAGCTAATTCATGTCACCATCAACAGGTTACTATTCTCTTTTTAAGTAATAGTGCCTGGCTTGCTTCTAAAACCAAATATCTGATTATGGAGTCATGTAATTGTGCAGCCTGGGCTGCTCTTCATGAACTGGGTGTCACCAGATCCTCAATCCATAAAACCAGGTTTACCCTAAAACACTCTAAGTGTTATAGAAAAGAATAGGCTTTAAAGGCCAGAAAGATCAAAGTATTATTTAAATAGATTGCTCACTTGGAAGCATAGACATTTTATGTGTTTATAGGAAGTGCTTAATAAAATCTTGTTGAATGAAGACTGAACACGTGGACCTGTTCCTAGCAACAAAAGATTCCTACTACGCAGGAGGCAATCAAATACTTTCTGAAATAAATTTCACCAGCATTAGGCTTCATTAATAATATTTATTTTAAAGATCACTTTTTATTGTAACAAATATAAAGTCATCAATGTTTTACAAATTGTCAAAAATGCTTTAAGTACAAAAAAAATGCATTAGTAAAATGAAAGTTATACTGTATCATTTGGTACATACTTAATACTGTCGACATGCACAACAAATGCCAGGAAAGCTCATGCATTATTGGAAGAGAGAAGTAAGAGAGAACGGCTCTCTTGTCTGATTACAAATTCATTGCTTCGGTCAGTTTCCTTTCTTCAGGGATACCATTTACCTGAAATGTGGAAGAATGAATATGGGCATGAGTTAGTCAGGGCATAGACACTTACAGATTTTGAGCAAAACGAAAATTTGACCAAACCAGTAATTTTCCATCATAACATAATTTAAAATAATTATGCTGTCTTATTTCTCTGCATTTGGTTTTAAGAAAATTTTCTAAATCTGTCCCCTCCTTCTTCGGCCAAAGCTAGGGTGTTTTCTATTTCTCCAAAGGTATGGCCTGAAAATTCCTCCCACAATAAACAAAACAGAACGAGGGTGACTGGACGATGTATGACTCTACCTTTTAATCACGGCTTTTTAGAAGATACCAGGTAGGTTGGAAGGGCAGGGAAAACGGGAAAACCTGAAGGGGCATCAAAATCAATGGCGTGGGGCTGGTCCAAAGGGTAGGGCTACTGACAGCTTTCAACTGCTCCATTATCCCAGCTAGTGCTTAAGGCCAGGATTACACCACCAGCAGCTAGTTCATTTCTTCAACTTCTGATGATCATTTAAAACAACTAACTAAATAAACCAAACTTCAAAATATACTCTCCCCTGACAAATTCCATATAGGTAGCCACAACTAAATCACTTGGTATCCAAGAGACAAATTGGTGCTTATGTTACCTTCATAAAGAAAACTGTGACACTAGCATAGTGCTCTGAGGTTCTTGGAAAAACCAAATTATTATTTCCCGGTAATCATGCACAAATGTTGTTGCCTCTTTGTGGTACTAAAATAACCAGGATGGAGGAACAGAAAAGCTGGTGTACCCACGAAAATACATAAACAGCACTGAATCCATGCATGTGCAGACGGAACAGAATACTTAGAAATGAAGAAACAAACTTTATTTTTTCATTCAAATGAATAGAATCGGAAGAAGAAATGTAACCTGCCCATTTAGCTCCTCTCTCCAGGAGGCATGACTCTAATCAGAGCAGAAACACAACAATCCATCATAATTATAAAAATGCTAGGGTAGTCTCTCTCCCTTTAGCACTCACATACTCTGGGGACTCACCAAAAACAACAAGAAGAAGAAAACAACCAAGAGGAGATAGTGCTCTTTAGTCCATAATATGCTCCAAATTACAGAAAAATATAAGAAAACAAGAAGGTAATGGGCTACAGTGTTAACTAAAAAGGAGATCAAAGCTTTCTTGACTCACGCAAAATGCCTGCTCCCCAAAACCTGTTTTAGAAAAATAATTTAGAAAATTAGGTTGAACAGCCTAAAATCCCCCAGGGGAAATTCTTTGGCTCTTATCACATTTGCTCAGGCAGAAATTGTCCCTGTATTTGGAAAATGCTGCCTATTACTAAAATGTAGCACGCTAACAAGTCTACTTGCTAAAACTCTATACAACTATCAAGTAATCTCCCTAATACCATATACTTAGATTTCCTTATTTGCCCTAATGGCAGAATATGTAAAACCTGGATTTTTAAAATACTCAAAAGAATTTATTATTTTGCTAGAAATGAAATAGTCTCCCTTCTACTCACTCTTTGCCTGACATAATTAAAGATCAGAGGAAAGACATCTTAGGAGAGATGGAAGTTTATGAGGTTAATGAAGACAAAGTTCTAACATTTCCACTGTAGAAATATTCTTTAAAAATTTTTCCTTTAAAAAAAAAGCCATGAAATTAGTGGCAGCAGGATTCATTTATTTCTTTGCTCTTTAGGTAACGCATATTCATAATAAAGTTGGTTCCTTCATCAATCTCCTGAATGCTTACACAGTAGCACCACTGCATCAATATATTGAACAGTCTGGTTGAAACATGTTAGCATTTAATTAAAACAAGTAATCAAAACTGTGGGGGAAAATTCTGATAAATGTTATCTCGTAATTAAAATCTGATGAATAACTTCATTATACTTGCCTCAAATCTTTGAAAAGTTGTCAAACGAAAATCTCCTTAAATTCCCGAAAGCAGTAATAGAGAAGATAATTTTTGAATGAAAACATCCAATAAATTTCTATATACGCCTGAAGTTTTTGAGACTTACTTAATAGCTTCCCTACCACAATACCACTATTCACAGTCAGAATTCCACATCCAACTTACAGTTTTAAAACTTCTCTTGCTTTTCCGAAAGAGCTACAAAGGCATTACTGGTTGCCTGGCAATTAGAACTAAGAATCAACCACTAATTAGAAGACAATCATGAATAAGTTATCTACTCGGTACCGAGATGAATGAAATAATTGGCAGGGGAAATTTTTTAGGGACACTTGAAAGAAATAAACTTAAAGAAAGCAAGTCTTAGGGAAATAGAATAGTTTAGGGAGAATTGTCCGCCATCTTGTTGTCGCTGGTCAAGTTATAAGAGCTTTTAAAAGTGGCATTAAAACCAGGCCAACCATTTCTCATTTATCCCCCCAAAGCCTCAGTGATTAGACACAATGGTTTCCTTTTGTAAGAGTCAGTTTCAAGCTGCTCACTTACTGAGACAAATCCTAGATGCATCCAAGCTAAGAATCTTTCATACCAAGGGGAAGAATAGGGAGCTTCGCTGAAGGAAGGGGTTTTATTCAGTCTTCCTTAATTAGACAGGACCTCCACGGATGCTTTTGCTCTAAGATCATTTACCCTGTGTTTATCACTGTGATGCCAATCTATGCAATAATCTAAGCTATTATTCTGCAGTTCTAACTCTGATTGAGGAATGACACAACTGTTTTGCCTTACATGGTGAAGCTAAAGCTTCATAAATTACATAGTACTATAATTATCTTTTAATCTATTAGCTTCATCCATCAACATCAACTTATTACTTTTAGTACTCACCTGTAGTCTGCTGTTGGGGAATCTGAGTCTGATGTGGCAAGTTCCTAGAAATGGTTAATATTTTTGAGTAAAAGTGTGTTTGTTTACAGACATGTAAACAGAGCACAGCCATATTAGAATGAAAAACTTTATAGCTAGAAAGGACCTCAGAGATCATCTAATCCAGCTCAACCCCCCACTCACTTCTCATGGGTTTATGGATGTGGAGCCTGAGGTCTGAGGAAGAGAAATAATAACAATATTTGGTAACATTCATTGAGTCCCTACAACATGCTATACTCTACCTCACAAGAAGCCTAGGAGGTAGGTAATATTTTTCCCAATTTACATACGATGAAATAGCCTTAGAGTTCTGAGGCTACGTAGCTAGGAAGTGGTGGATAAAGATGGGAACACAGGGGCTCCAGGGCTTGTGCTTGTAACCTGTACACTTTTAGATCCAGGTCTAGAACACATGTACACACTCACACACTCTCACAGAACAACGTAAATAACCATCTTCATTCACTGTGCCAAACCTGTGCTCCTCTATCCCCATCCCAGAGAATGACACTGGCCATCCACCCAAATACACTAGTCAAAATGGGGAAGTCATCATGAACCCTTCCCTCTCCCCTTCAGTCCCCACATCCAATCACTTGGGAACTCTTGACAATTCTCCTCAATCTCCTTTGAATTTGTCGCTTCTTCCCCATCTCCATGGCTAACTTGGCTGAAGCCACCATCATTTCTCACTTGGATCTTTGCAACTGATCTGCACTGTTTCCTCATTCCCATTCCTGCTCATTCATGATCCACTGCACACACTGCTGTCAGAGGATCTTCTACAACACAAATCTGATTGTGTCCCTCAAATAACACACATTTGATTACTTCCTCATACCTACCTGTAAATTCAGTTTCAAGTCCCTCAGTGTGGCCTAGAAGGCCACCAATATATCTGGTCCGTACATGGAGCCCTCCCTGATGGCCTGAAACAGAACCACCTCCACCATGGCCACTGTCACCTTTTGCACCCAACCAGCTTCCATTTGTCCTTGCAAACTCTACTTGAAATTTACAGTGGACAAGCATCACTCTGATAATTTAAAAATATCCCACAAAGAATGTTAATTGTTTTAACTTATTATCTTTTTTAATTAAAGAACTAACATCTCGAGTACCACCTCTTCTAAGCCTCCTCAATCTCTAAGCATCCCCCCAATTAGGTTACCTTTTAGCATACTTCATCCGCATGCTGACTGTGTCGTAGTTCTCCTCACATAATGTTTAATTGCCCCCAAGTACCTTAACAGTAAGAATCATCCTATTTTGTTTAGTATCCCCAGCAGTAAGCATGCAATAAACAATTTTTTAATGAATACATGCAAAACGGAAGATGCTTATGAAGATTCACATAACACTCATACCGATTTAGTTTCAAATTCTGATGTTAAAATTAGTTTAAAATTGTATTTAAAATGTACAATTTAGATTCTGGTGTGGAAGAAATTCTAGGAGGCAGCCCCTTGCTACAGAGCAGAACTTGATCCAAGCCAGGGATTTTTAAAGTTTTTTTTCCTCTTCAGCAATGGAATTCCTTTTAATTGAAATCCTAAGCAGAACTCTTGACATACAAAAGAGATGAATGTGAGGTTGCCTGGGTTGAAACAAGGGAGCCAGAAATCCCGCCTGCTTTGTTTCCTTGGCCCCACATGCTGGCCCCTGAGGCATTTCTAAGAAACCTCCAAGAAACAAAGTTTGAAAACCATTGATCTGAATCATTTCAGGCAGGCAAATATTCTGTTCCAAATTCAACGATCTAAAGTGGAAAACAGTACATGCTACTTAAACACTGTTTAAACCCTTAAATAATCTATAGAAATGTTAATGACTTCTAGTGATCTTTTTTTTTAAAATTTCCAGTTCCATTTTAAATGTATTGTGAAGGAAATAACAAAATCAATTCTAATTCAACTTGAGGAAGTTACTTAATAATTCATCCCAATAACATTTTTTTTTTGCTATTACCTATGAGCCCTACTTATCCTTGTGTGGTCTCAGGGAGTATCTTTTTTTTTTGGTTTGTTGATTCTCTCAGTATTTCAGACAATGCATTTATAGTGGTTTTGATCATGAAAGTAAAAGGACTAATTTATAAACCACAAAGAGGAAATAAGTTCTAGATTTAAAGATGGGAAAACAGGCATCTTTACCACATAAGTCAAAATGCAATTTCGCGGGCATTTGGGAGGGGGATGTCGGTTTTGTTTTAACTTCTCAGGTCTGACTAACTTGGGTCTACTCTACATTAGAAACCAATACAGCACACCTTTGACGCACGCACGCACACGCACTTCCTCATTTCCTATCATCTCTGGCTCTACCCAGCCTATTAATGGTTTACATTAGTACATTCTGACAAAATAAAAATACCAAAGAGGACAAAGAAAGCCCTTCAAAAGCCCTTGCTCCATCACGGATACCCAAATTCAAAATCAGTATTTGGATGAAGTAGTTGGAGCCCCCTCTCCCACTGGCCAATCCAACTCACCCTTCCATGGAACAGTGTTTGAAAACCACCGTCAAAGTCAATCTATGCCCTGTCATTTCTTCTCTAGTCTCCATTTTTTTTTTCCTCTTCTACTACACTGCTAAACTTTCTTTTTTTCTTTTTCCTTTTGCTTTTTTTTTTTTGAGGAAGAGTAGTCCTGAGCTAACATTCACTGCCAATCTTCCTCTTTTTGCTGAGGAAGATTGGCCCTGAGCTAACACCCATGCCCATCTTTCTCTATTTTATATGTGGGACGTCTGCCACAGCATGGCTTGATGAGCAGTGCATAGGTCTGCACCTGGGATCCGAACAGTGAGCCCTTGGCCGCCAAAGCGGAACATGCGAACTTAACGGCTGCACCACCAGGCCGGCAAGTAAACTTTCTAAATAGCAATGGGCTTGGCTCCGTCTGAAGAGAAATGGTTGGCTGAGAAAGTGCCACACACAAACAAGAAATTGGGAAATGTATGAGAAAGCAATTGTGGGTGTTACATTGGTTTAGGGATTTAAAATTTGAACAATGTACATGCACTCCTTGCAAATTCAACTGAAACCTAGATGAGTTATATAAAAGCGCTTATGTGTGCAAAATGGTGCTCAACAAAAACACGTGGAGAGTCAAATTCCCCAGTCTCCACCTGTGCACACATAGCTCTGTTTGTTTGGTTGCCCAAACTTGCAAGTACATGTGAGCCTGAGTGTTCGAGTGTTACTATAACGATCCTGGGCATATTTGAAGCATGTATTCCATTTAAGAGTTGAAGGGAGGTACCTCATAAGAGCACTGCTTCAGGCATACTGTAAAAATGCCTACGACTAACTCTGCTGTGGTTAAGCAGGGAATGCGGTAAGAAAATAGGAGCCTTTCCATCTTTGGTGAAAGCAGGCTACTAAAGGCAATTATCCAGGAGAGTGGGGGCTGACTTCAAATAGAAGTCTCTAATCCTTCAAAGAAAGGACCTTTATAGAGTCACAAAACTATTTAAAATAATTAAGTTATTAATGGACTAACTGAAAGATTAGGATGTGTAAACTGCATTCCGTAGAACAAAGATTTAAGAAAACTATAATTCTCTAAATTATTAGCATTAATTATTTTCTAATTTTACTACCATGAATTACATCCATTTAAATAGAAAATTATGTAAATTAGCCATTGCACAAACTTCATTCTTTAAGAAAACAAAGGTAATAACTTGCAAATTAATAAATAAGTGATTTGGAGGGAGTATACAATTATTTATTTGTACAACCGTTTTAAGGTAATCTGACATTCCTGGATATCCTGTAGAGTAAGTCTATGAGTAAGGTTGATGATTACCAACCCATTATATTCCTACTTGCTTAAAGACTCAAAAGCAAAGAAAGGTCAAGTGCTTTGCATAAGGCCACAGATGAAAATAAATTACATCAGTTTAGTTATGTGGAATACAAAACACTTCTCTTTTGAATTTGTATGGAGTCACTTAACCGTAAGAAATAGTAATATATTTTTGGTATTTTCCAATTATTTTAGCAAAATTGATATTGGCCCCAAACCTTGAATTTTCTACAAAAATTTTTTTTTCGAAAATGCTGATTTGGATTCTATAACTATTTTTACTAAGGAATCACACCATTATTTGGATAAAGGAAGGAAGGAAGGACGCAAAGAAACTGGAAGCATCACCATAATTTTTTATTTCAAAACCTAATTTTAACTAAAAGCAATGTAGAACATACATGGAATAGAAAATAGAAAGAAGACGTTCATCTACTTTTAGTTTTTTTCCTCTGCTTGTATAAGGCCAAAAGCAAGCCCACCACAGCTTTACAGAGCAGTACAAACTGATAGAACCAAAATGCATTCAAGAGATACCGCAACTATTGCTGTTAGGGTAGACTCACTGAATTTTTTTTTAAAAGTCAATGCCTCTGAAATATCCCTGGGTGCTTGACAGTTTTTGTCAACAGGAAAGCATTATCTTGGTCCCCTGAAACATTCTCTTCAACTGATATTAACTTTTATTGAAACCTAATTTTTTATTTATGGAATTTTGCCATGAAGTTAGCTCTAATTATTACGAAAGGAAAGACAAATGGAAAAATATTTTAGGTAAAAGCTAAAATGATTAGTTACTAAATAGCTTTAATTAGAAGACCTTAATTCTACTTTTATACTTGTTAATTTGCAAAAGATTAGACACAACCCACCTCCTGTTTTGAGGGAGACCCAATTACCCTGGATTAGGTATTCTGTTTAGTATAATGAACAAGGAAAATTTTTGTATAGCCAATTAAAATCTTCCTAGAAAATGTTTGGGCATCTTTCTCTATTATTCATTACATAATCATATAAAATCCTCTATGAAGATGCCTCCCGCTCAGGAAAAATCGATTGATATTGACGTAAGAAAAGAATAAAGAGGCAGATCTACCCTTCAAAAGACCACACCATACATTACAAATTTAAGAATAAATTACTTTTTAGAAAACTGAGTGTTTAGGATCCTCCAGTCAATGCCTCCCACAAAATTGCAAAATAAGTACAATTTCCTGGTGGTTTTTACCTTTTCAAGGTTTAGCATTTCCCTGTCCCTTCAGGCATTCTTTTCTTTTTTGGGGTGGGGAAGATTAGCCCTAAGCTAACACTTGCTGCCAATCCTCGTCTTTTTGCTGAGGAAGACTGGCCCTGAGCTAACATCCGTGCCCATCTTCCTCTCCTTTGTACGTGGGACGCCTACCACAGCATGGCTTGCTAAGTGGTGCCACGTCCACACCCAGGATCTGAGCCGGTGAACCCTGAGCCGCCAAAGCGGAATGTGCGCACTTAACCGCTGCGCCACCGGGCCGGCCCCCAGCCATTATTTTCTAATCAGCACTCAGCTCTCCCTTCTCCACACCGTTCTCCTCAGGTAGCTTAAGGAGGTGAGAAAAGTCGAGTGGCTGATAATCATATGATAAACCCACAAACAGCCCCACGCTCTAGATAATGCGAATGCGCATGGACGGCCCCCTTTCACATTTCTCCTTCGCTCAGACCCCTCGGGGGAATTAGGAGAAACTGTTCCCCTTTTAAAACTCCACTGGAAGAGTGTGACCAACAACCCCTTTTCCACCTCCTCCCTCAACAGAAATACCACCAGAAATACCCATCTGGCTTTCCTGAATCCTAACACCTAGGCCTTTTAAGTATTTAAATCAGGGGTTCTCAACCTTTTTTCCTGCTCCACCGCATACACGCGTCTACCAGAATCCAAATCTCCAGAAGCAGGGGCCCTGGGATGCGTGTGTAAAAGCCCCACGGGTCAGTGTGCCTGCACCTTGGTTTGGGAACAACCAGGCTAGACTCTCTCAACATCCCTTTAGGACCTAAAATGCTATGACTCAGAATTTGATTTCCTTAACTTAAATCATTACAAAGGTTTATCTTTGAGGTACATCAACCAAAGCCGTAATATATTTTTGATGTTAAGTCTTTGGTCAAAAACATAACCCCTAATCATAATGATTCTTTGGGTAAAGCAAATTTACCTTTAAGAATTTACTTTATAAGTGATTTCCAGCAATGAATCGTAATAAGTAAGGGGATTGCCTACAGAGGAAAACATTCTTCTTACTATTAATGGCAACATTTACTCACTGGGCTACAAAGATAACTGATTAAGCACAGACGCAAAAAGCTCGACTATACCAGGGGATGGGGAACATTCTACAGAATACCCAGCTCCTCAAGACTGTCAAGGTCACAGGAAACAAAAAAGTCTAAGAAACTGCCTAGACCAGAGAAGACTAAAGACACATGCCAATTACTGTGTCCTAGACAGAATCACAGAAGAGGAAAAAAACATTAGGGGAAAAAAACTAATGAAATCTGAAAGAAAAAAAAGTCTGAAGTCTGGTTAACAGTAAGCACCAATGTTGGTTTCTTAGTTGCGACAAACGCACTATGTACTGTCAGATGTTAACAAGCGGAGAAACTGGGTAAGGGCTATTTGGGAACTCTATTATCTTCGCAACTTTTCTGTACCTCAAAAATCATTCCAAAATAAAAAAGTTATTAAACAATAAATATATTAGCAAAGAGCAAATTAAATTTATCTTACATTTCTATACTATCTGATAACTTTAACAGCCTGTTTGTACTTTTCCATAACCTGAACCTTGCCTGTAACCTGGATCAGAGATCTTTCTGAGGTCAGTGACCACCTTATCTTTCCCTGACTTCATATCAAGATAGGTAAACAATCTAATCTCAGTTTTGACCTAATTTAGTTGTTTCTTATCCAGGTCTCAATTTTATCACCTGCAGATGATTAAACATTTGTTTACTGTCTAATTCATCCTGTGAGTCTGAAGTCACATGAAGCATTCTACCAAAAAGAAAATATTACTGTGTAATTTACAAATAACTGAGGCAGCCCCTCATTACACAACTATTGTGAGTCTTGTATACCTTACACTGTTACGAGGTTCTCTATACCTCGTATACCTCGTGGATTGACTTGTTTAAAAGACCCAAACAAGCTACTATGTAACTTTGGAAGGAAAGCTTTGAACGTTCTTGAGTCTTGCTTGGAAGCTAACATAAGCTTTCAACCACATCCTTATGCCTGAACATTTCTGGTGTCGAGTCTGAAGAAGCAGCACGAAATCCTGTAGCTAGCCAAATTATTTAAGAATAATAGATTCAGTAAAGTTAGTATGAATATGTGAAGATGAAACGCGTGCCCTCTTAGGAAGGGTTAATTAATAAACACCAGGCAGCACTGTTCAAGCATCTACCTGGTTATCAAGTACTGTAATGCCTCATCAAATATAACACCTCATTCTAATGTCGAGAACTCAATTCAATCCCAATGACCAAAATATTTACATATGTGTGTACTTGGCGCTGAAATGAAACTTTAAATACAGAGCTATGCTTTTAAGGTAAGGACTAAAAGCTGAATTTTTGTAAAGGACAGCTGTGACAAACCTGATATAATAAATTACTTTTATCTGGCATGGCTGGAAAATGAAGTTAATCATAGGCAGTTACCATAGAGACTGCGCACATATTATCCATTTCCAAGAGTAAAAGAAAGATAATATACACTCAACACTGAAACTACACCGAATGGAATTTAATTTTCCTCTGATGAGTCAGACACACTTGATGATCTCGCAGTGTCTCAGAATAATCATTGTGAACATCATCAATTATCTATGTACCCTATTTATATAGAAGTGCTAGTTAATGGAGTTTTTCCATTAGCAGAAATCTGAATAATATGAAGGTTTTTCTGGACTTAAAAATACATATATGATCAAATTGTTGCAAATTCAATAAAATAACCTATTGTATTTGTAAACAGAGAGATCTGATCAACATAATGACAGTCTAGATGGGGTTACAGAAGGATCAGGAAGATGCATTTGTTGTAAACTAGACAGGAAATGTTATTATGTTTGTATATTAGTGGCAACACTGCAAAATCCTAACCACAGGGAATCTGAATAATTTTTAAGGGGCTATTTTTATTCTCAATATATACTGTTAGAAAACATATCTAAAAAATGATGCGGCCTTTTTCCCTCCCTTAAACTTCACCAACAATAGAGTTTTACTGATTTACAAACATATTCAAGTTACCCTATTCATTATAATAAATATTTCTCTATCCTAAAGTTTGACAGCATTATTATTTTGTCAATAGAAGCATTTCCCAAACTGTTCTTTAAAGAGTTACCTCTTCTGACCCTTTTCCATGGGTTCACAAAGTATATCAACACACTAAAGATTATGAGAACTCTTGTAGTTTAAAAATCCACCACCAAAAAATCCACTTCTCAAGTGTATTTGACCATTTCATTTTTGAGAATATATATCAACATTTGAAGAACAGATATCAACATTTCACTAGCACTCTTGAGTAAAGAATATAAAAAACGGTGGCCTTAAAGAATTCTTTCTTTTCATTTTGAAAATGAATGATAAGGCTGTTCATAATTTTCATCTAAAAAAGGCAGGAGAGATGATAAATTGTGAACTATTAGAATATTCTTGAAATTTCACAAATTTTTCTCATCAGTATCTAATCCTGGTAAAGTGAAACAGTTTTATGATGATCCACTAACCGTTAGAGAACTTAGAAATCCACCCCTTCTATTCAGTACAACTGTATTTTGTGAGATTTTAATATTTACATCCCTGATAGACTATTACTGTTTCCAAAACTCAAAATTTTAAACGTATGCAATTTTCCTCACTGTTAATCGGACCTGAATCAATTACTCACACACACATGCACACATAAACATACACCTTGGCCTAGTCAACACTACGTAAATGATGTTAGAGGATTTCAGGAAAATACTTATAATACTTTTAGAGTTCCAAAGTATTTTGGACAAATTTGTTGAGTTGGACTATCTATACGATTCATATTAATTACCGTTAATCTTCAAATTACCAGATGCTTTTTACATGGTTACAAAATAAGCACTCACAATGGGAAAACCTTTGCACCCAGCATGGTTTCCAGATAAATCTTTAATCAGTAAGAGGTGACTTTTATATCATATCCTAAGGATTCTGTCTGGGGGGGGAGGGGTTGGATTTTTCTGTATATCCATTCTATTTATAAAAATAAAGTGAAAAATAAGGAGATCTCAAAAACAAACTTGTGGCTTCTTTGGTGAAACTGAATTTAACCCATTTTAAGGTATGGTTGTAAAAGAAAAAAAGAGCCATGTTCTAAAAATAAATGACAGCTTTACCTACGATTGCTTTATATGAAAACTGAGCTTCTAGGCATATAACTTTGGTTCTTAAGAGCAACTGGGCAATTTCCCCAACTCCTCTCCCCCAGGTTTACCCCTTACAAAGGCCTCCTCCAGGCTTTCTGACCACAGCCCTTCCAGCACTACAGAGAAGGTTTGCACTAATAAATTGTGTTTATAGCCAAAATTCAAACTATTCATTTTGATATACAAGCAGATCACAAAAAACAACCTAAAAACCTTTTACCCTGAGGCAAAAAATGTAGATCAAATAGATCTGCGGTAATAACATTAAAAAAATAGGTTAACAGAACCAATAATTCTAATAATAGCTCTAAAAAATAATCAATTTGTCATGCTTTAGGATATGCTACTCTTTTCCGAATTAACTCATCAGTGAGCAAACATATGTTAGTTCAATGTCAATTTCTTAAATATTAAGGTGAATGTTATCTTGTTGGGATTAGTGAAGGGAAAAAAAGCATTTCCTGAAAATAATTCTATTTATTTGAGTCAGCACAGCGAGGATGGGATCTACGTTATCAATGTTCTTTTGGTATTTTTCTCTTCCAATTATAAACAAACAAAGAAACAAACAGAAGCAACAACAATGAAAAGCTCTGGTCTTTAGAGACAATAAGTAGATCTATTCATGCATGTTCATAATGAGGGTTCCAAGTGGATACTTACTGCTGCGTTTGCATCAAAGGCATATTAGTGCTTTCATAACTGTCTGCGTGGAGGGGACGGATGAGTTCCCCCGTCACAGGGTGAAACACAGGAAGCGTTGACAGGGGCCACGCTATCTCTCTATTCTTGGACATGTCACGAAGTTCTTTGGTAGATTTCTGAATAGCACTATGATGGACCAGTTGGATGCTAGGTCAAAAAGAAATAAAACAACATATATTTAAAATCATATATTAGCCCAAAGGGTCATCAATTTGAAAAAGTTATGAAATATTTTTTCCTTTTAAAATAAGAAGATATTATTGCACTTTGGGAATTCTACAAGTTACTCTAGAAAGAGATACATTTCATATACCTTTAACATAGCAAAATTGAAAATTATAAACTAATTTTTAAATAAACGTGTCACTCATTAAACTAAGCTATAAAGCTTTGTGTTAATATTACAGCCCTAAGTAAGAAACTAGCATTTTATTTAATCTCTACAATTAAGATAAAACTACCATAGCTTTTATATTGTTGCTTCTGATGGGGCATTTATAAATACTCACAGAAGTTTCATTTTATGGTAGGTTATTACTGTAGATTCAGGAAAACGTGTATGAAAGGTCTTTTCGTCTGTTCTCTGGTTTATAGAAATGCAGATTGGGAAATCACATAATATAAATGGCAAGTTAATATTCTGAATCTGAAATATTTTAGGTTTAATTTTATCTACATAATCTTAGTTTTCAAACCCTTTTTATTTTTAGTTTCTACCCCTCCTAAATATCTCTATTTAGAAAGCAGCTTTCACATTGATGAAAGAAACTATGAAAGATGACGAATGGGGGGAAAAAAGCATGACACACATGTATGGAGCATGATGGGCAACTGAAAAGTGAAAAGAATGATAAAGAAAATAACAGGAAAGAAGACACTTACTCTGGTGTTTGCATGTTTCTCTTTTCCCTAGAAACAAAACAAAATTTATGAATTAAATAATAGCATTGATATTTGGAACATTAAGACTATATGCTCATGGGATCTTGCATGATGTGGAAATGCTGACATTGTTACTATTAAATGCAACCAGGCAGCATTTGCCACCAAGTTTATGACATTATTTGGATGAGTGCACGTACAGAGATGGAATACTGATGAGAAAGACACAGAAAAATGAAAAAAAATGGAGATTAAGAATTAAGCTCTTAGAAATAAATTCTATGACATAATGAAATCAGGCTACATGTATAAATGGAAGAATTTGTTACTTGCTGCTTTATTAATTTTTTATCCTTTGTTTTGTTACCCTGACTTCCAGATAATCTCAGGAGATTATTTTAATTGACATAGACGTCCTGAAAGTACTAACTATTCATGAAGTGAAGACTCATTACTCAAACTATACTCTTCTTCTCATTAATTTACTGCTGTTTTTATAGATATATTTTAAACATTTAGATTGTTACCCTGTTTGACAGCCAAACAATGTCAAGAAGAATTTTGACCATCACTTCTGATCAAACTATTTATTTATTTAAAGTGCAATTACCATGTCAATAGATCCCGAGGTCTCTACTCATACAAGACGGCGTGCATAACCAAAATATTTAGCCTCAATTATTCTTGGACTGTTTTGCCAGCATGAATTTACATCTAGCCTTAATAATTTTTGAATAAAGTAATTATATCCCCTAATTTGATTTACTAGACTCAAAACTACTTTAATTCATTTTAAAGGAATAAAGTACTGTAGTTTGACTTGAACACAATTTCAGTTCATTTATAAAGTGCTTTATGAACTAAATGGAACTTGGCTTTTAATGAAATCTTATACGTTGTTATCTTAGTAGGCTCTATAATTTTTCATTAGTGCTTTAAAGTACTCACACTCCTTCCCGTCGGCAGCACATAATATAAGCAAGTATTAGAAAAAGGACCAATGCTACTGCCGAGGGCACAGCCAGTGTAATTAGGAAATCCGTGTAATAGTCTCTGCTTTTCAAAGAATCAGAAGGGGGTTTGTACTCTCCACCATCAGGCAAAATCCCCTCTCCACGAATCACTTCCTGATAGGTGGACACTTGCTTTGTTTTATCAACCTGATGCAAAAGAAGACAATTACACATCAAATCAACAGCTGCAAACATTATAAAAGTTTAAGATCTAGACATAGCAAAACAATCTTTGACAAATTTCTCAAAAGCAATCTTTTCTAATTAGTTTATCATCTTGAACTTGCAATTATTTATGGGAACTATGAAGAAGTAATGAATAGAAGTAATAAATTAAAGGGTTTATGTTGGCCTGCTTTCTATGAACTTCCCACAACAGATATGCATTGGACATGTCTAAATACATAAATATGCGTGTGTGTGTGTGTGTGCAGTTGTTCTTTTCCAGTTTCCTTCCTCCAAAGCAGAAGTCCTTCACACTACTGTGTAAATTTCTTGTTTCCTAGTGACAAACCTCTAGTGCAGATGTTAACAGTGAACTGGCTGATAACCAGGTGTGGGGGTGTGGTTTCTAAGGTTAGTAAAACAGAAAAGGGAAAAAAATTTTTTCTTTAAATGATTATAACCTTGATCTTTCTACCATCTAGCTGACAGAAGTAGTTTTCAGGGAAGATAGTCTAAGGAACTACTGTAACCCATCCAAGGCTATAGTTTCACTAAATTCTATCCTAAGATCAGCAAGCCCTGACCTTCTAGTGGTTAAGCTTCAACACTCTCATCATCACAGCCAAGGTTCCTTTCCTGCTCAAGGAAGCACACCACCCCTGTCGGTTGTCATACTGTCACAGCTGCCTGTTGCTGTGATGCTGAAAGCTATGCTACCAGTATTTCAAATACCAGCAGGGTCACCTACGGCAGACAGATCTCAGTGGAGCTTCCAGACTAAGACAGACTAGGAAGAAGGACCTGGCCACCCACTTCTGGAAAAAGATTGGCCATGAAAACCCTATGAATAGCAGTGGAGCATTGTCTGATACAGAGCCAGAGGTGAGAGTATGGCACAAGAAGACCCAGCAGGGTTCTGCGCTGCTGTACACGGGGTCACTAGGAGTCTACGACACTAACAACAACAATCTCAGGATCAAAAAATGCACAACACTCGCACTATATTAATTTACATCCACATTAACTGAACGGCTTTCACAGAGTTGCATTTAATTACGCTAAGGTTTTACTTAAAGGACACCACAAAAATAGCAATGTGAAATCTGTTACTATATTTGCTCCCCCTACAAAAAATGGCTAGGAAGAATTATTTGTGGCATTTCTCAGAATCTTCTCCCAAAATACTCTACTTGAAGAATTTTGTGAACAATACAGTGCTAGTAAAAACTTAATTTTCTCCCAAGGAATGGATTCTCTGCTCCCTTTACGAATGAGAACTAAATAACTGATGAATTTCCTCTTTTAATCCTGGACATTAGGAAGCTTGTAGTCAAACTTGACGTTAAACTTACTTTTTTGTAAAGTTTAGGTCCTGATTTTCCATTTCTTTTATATTTTATTGTTTTTATGCTTATTTTTTGACCCTTTTATTTAAGCCTCCTGAAATCTTCTGTGGTAAGATGAGACATATAAATAATAAAAAATGAAAATCCCAACCTTTCCATTTATCAAGTCTTACCACAAAAACCAAAATCTTCAAAGCATAAGCCATTTTTAAACCTTTAGAAATTAGATAATATCCCTAAACATAAACACTTTACAGCACCAGCACAAGTAGAACGGCAGTGTCGGGCCCACCGTCTACTGACCAGGGTCAGAAGCAGTCGCTGAAGTTCTCACGGCAGCCACTCAGGCTCTCGCAGCCTTGCACAATTTGCACCATGACTGAAATACTGAGCTTTGCAAATTCAACATTTATCTATAATACACATAAACCCCAGCATCTTAACAATTTTACTTCATTTGAGAAGGCAAAAAAGGAGAACTATTTTCCCAAGACACAAGCGACATGGAAAGAGGAGCCCAGGGCCAGGGGCCACAGGTGCTAAGAGCTGCAACGTGAGCAGCATGTTCTCCCGCACTGGATCCAGGAAAGCTGCCTGCAGCTGGTTAGCGAAGACATGAAGTGACAGTTGTGTTTATGTGTCAATAACTTTGTTCAAATGTCAACTTTAAACTTAGATCTAATTCACTCACCACCAATCATCGAGAGTTGACAGAAGTTAAATCTAAAGGTCACAAGTAAACCAACTTTCCTATCTTACAGAAAGCTGGACCAAAAACTATAATATAAATTTCATATAAAATATTATATATATCTCTTACATATATATGAAACCTTACCCACATTTTCCTAAGTCTTTTAGCACAGTAACTAAAAAGTGGTTTAGAAAGAAATATTTATTATTTATGGGACTGTGGGTGAGATTCTAAATTTCCTCAGTAGGAATTGTTTCTTATCCCTTGAACTTTTCATACAATTTGAGTTTCCAAGACACTGAATCATAGAGCAATATTGCTTTATTTTCAGATTTATTATTGTACTCCAGTCTCTCCTTCCAAAGTAGGGTGGCAGAAGCATATTTGAGACTTTCTTCACATGTCACACTGACTCCATACTCTATCCCTACTTAGCAGCCACCTGGATGTCCAGGGGGGCCATCTGGACCACCTGTCAAGCTAATCCGGCCCCAGCAACTAATCAAGGCTAGACTGAGTACAAAAGTGGAGATACTCTTTCCTAAATGGATGCACTGTCAATGAGCTTGCCAAATCCTTAAAGTCGAGGGAAGTCAACTGCAGTTAATAAAGTAAACCCAGGATTTGTTCCTAAAAGCAATTCAGGTTTTAGTCAATTGTTATCTCCAGCCACATCACTTCTAATTATATCTGCAAAAACAAAATAAAATAAAAACTCACCAATGAAATTTTGCACCAGTCAATGTAAAATTGAGTACGAAATTTTTTATCACATGTTATTACAGGTTCCATTTCTTGACTGCATCTCAATTGATTCTGAGGATTTTCAACTTCTCGTAAACAAGACGAAAATGGGACATCAGCACCAACCATGACGTAAACGCTGCAAAAATGTGAAACTCAGGTTATCCTTTAAGAAAATTGGAAATACTGAAAAACAATCTACCCTGAAAGCAGGATTTATCCTTTTGAATTGAGGGATTATCTAGAATCATCCCTAAGGTTGAGGCATGGGCTTTCAAAACAGTGATTTATGTAGGGACTTCCTTTCATTTTTTTCCTTTATTCAACCAATATTTACTGAGTGCTTTGGTGCAACTGATACTCGCAATTCTACGTTAATTTCTAAAAGCTTTTTCCATCCTATTTATTTTAATTCAAAACAAACAGGTCTCATACTCTGATTACTATGTTTGGTAGATTACTTACCTTTAAAAATTATTCTTAAATTGTTTAGAAAAATAACGCTATCACTAAAATAATAAATAAATAATTATTGGTAATAAATCTTCACTTGATTTCATTTTAATAAGATAGTGAAATTACGTCCCTGGAGGTATGGAGCGTTAGACAGACTGAGCTATTCTACCCAAAGTTCTGTCAGCTTTTCTACTGCACACATTCTTACTGTTAGGTCTCTCATTACACGGTCTCTCAATTTTTATCTAAGAAGTTAATAGAAGAGAAAAGCTATTGTTTAGTAAACACAATCTAGGCAAACAAAACCTTTTTTTTGGTATCGCTGCAATTAGAAGGAAAGAACTCTACTTAATTGGCTAATAAGAGTTTTTTTTTTTTTGCTTTTTCTCCCCAAATCCCCCCAGTACATAGTTGTATATTTTAGTTGTGGGTCTTTCTAGTTGTGGCATGTGGGATGCTGCCTCAACATGGCCTGATGAGTGGTGCCATGTCCACACCTAGGATCCGAACCGGTGAAACCCTGGGCCACTGAAGCGGAGCGTGTGAACTTAACCACTCAGCCACGGGCCTGCCCCACTAATAAGAGATTAACAATAAAAAAGAAGATAGAGATAATAGCATTTAAATCATCTTGGAGCAGCTTGAGAAGATGAGAATCTCATACGCCTTTCAAAAGAAGAGAGAGAACCAGGAAATTACTCTAAATATTATTTCTTTTCCTAATGACAATGCTATAGCTACTCACAAAATGAAATAAACCTATCAAAATTCCAGCTGTCTTCTTTGCAGAAATTGACAAACTAATCCTAAAATTTATATGGAAATTCAAGGGATCCAAAACAGCCACACACACACACACACACAAATTCTTGAAAAAGAAAAACAAAGTTGGAAGACTCACAGCTACCAACTTCAAAACTTACTACAAAGCAACAGTAATCAAGACAGAGGGTATACACCCCTGAGTATCCACGGGGGACTAGTTCCAGGACCCCCATGGTTACCAAAATCCATGGATGCTCAAGTCTGTTACATAGAATGGCATGGTACAAGGAATACAGTTGGCTTTTCATATCCATAGGTTTTACATCCATGGATACAACTCAATTAAATTCCTCCCTATCTGTGAAATTTCCATCTGCAGTTGGTTGAATTTGCAAAACTCATGGATACAGAGGGGTGACTGCACTAGAATAAGAATAGACATGTAGATCAATGGAATAGAATTCAGAGTCCAGAAATAAACTCTTACATTTAGTAAACTGACTTTTGTCACAGGTGCCAACACAATTCAATGGGAGAAAGAATAGACTCCACAATAAATGGTACCGTTGGATATCCACAGGCAAAAGAATGAAGCTGGACCCCATATAAAAGATAACTTAAAACAGATCAAAGCCTTACATGTAAGAGCTAAAACTATTAAACTCTGAGAAGAAAACAGGCATAAATTTTCCTGACCTTGGCTTAGGCAATGGTTTCTTAGATATGATACCAAAAGTTCCAGCAATAACAGAAAAAAATAGATAATTGCATGTTATCAAAATTAAAAACCTTGTGCTTCAAAGGACACCATCAAGAAAGTGAAAAGGCAATCCACAGAATGGGAGAAAATATTTGAAGTCATAAATCTAATAAGGGACTTGTAACTACAATATATAAAGGACTTTTACAACTCAACAACAAAAAGACAAACAATCCAATTTAAAAATGGCAAAGGATCTGAATCGACATTTCTCCAAAGAAGATATCCAAATGCCTAATAAGTGCATGAAAAGATGCTCAACATCATTAGCCATCAGCAAAACAAATCAAAACCACAACAAGATACTACTTCACACCCACAAGGATGGCTATAATAAAAAAGACAGATAATAGGAAGTGCTGACAGGGATGTGGAGTAACTGCTACTCTCCTACTCTGCTCGTGGGAATGTAAAATGGTGCAACTGTTTTGGAAAACAGTTTGTCAGTTCCTCAAAAGGTTAAATAGAGTTACCATATGACCCCGCAATTCCACTCCTAAGTATATACCCTAAGAGAAACGAAAATATATGTCTATACAAAAATTTGTGCATGAATGTTCATAGCAACATTACTCACAGTAGTCAAAAAGTGGAAACAATCCAAATGCTCATCAACTGATGAATGGATAAAAGGTGAAATATACATACAATAGAATATTACTCAGCCATAAAAAGGAACGAACTACCAATACATCTACAACATGAATGAACCTTGAAAACGAAGTGAAAGAAGCCAGTCACAAAAGACCACATATTATATGATTCCATTCATATGAAATGTCCAGAATAGGAAAATTTATAGAGACAGCAAATAAATAGTGACTGCCTAGGACTAAGGGTGGTGGTGGCGGTAAGTGACTACTAATGGGTATAGGAGGAGGGTGCTGGGATGACGAAAATGTTCTAAAATTGATTGTGGTAATGATTGCACAAGATTGTGAATAAACTAAAATCCTTTGAGTTATACAACTTAAATAGGAGAACTGTATGGTATGTGAATTATATCTCAATAAAGCTGTTATTTTTAAAAATGAAATGAAATAAAAGTGAAGCACAAAGATTAAAAGAAATGTCCGTGTAAGTACGAGGTCACAACCTGAGTTGACAACTGTGTCCTGGAGCATGATTACACAAACTCATTTGGTTGCTCTTTATGTCAAATTTATATTTGGACTTAGGATTCATTTGAAAGAATATTTAAAAAAAAAACCTCTGGTGCCTTTGGGAGACGGACAGTATATAACAGACTGAAATTAAAGATCAAATGGAATATTAAAAATTCAAACAAAAGCAGATGCGACAAACCACTGGTATTTAGATAATCAGTTAATATAAATATAGTCCATTTAAAGCAAGTGGTTACTTTTAAGCGTCACATAAAGTCAATTTCTATCCCCTTATTAACTGCCTACCCAAGACCATATTTTTCCTTGATAACTGTGAAATACATTTGTAAACAGAGAAACAAAATGAGTATTTCTTACAACTGTTAACAGTCCTCTTGCTTTAACATGTCATTGATTTGCAATTATAATTAGTAAGATTTCAAATTAATTCACTTCAAGTTAACATAAATGGGCATAAGCGTAAGAGTTTTTAGTACTTTGAAATGTTTTTTTTTCTTGAATTATAAAAGTAATATAAAAACATTACATGAAACTTGGGATATAAAAACAGAATTAATTTATATTACCAAGATAACTATTTTCATTTTCCAATGTACCTTGTAGAATATTTTTCAAATGCATATATTTTAACCTAATTGCAATCATCTCTAAAATATAACTTTGTGTCCTTTTTCATTTAACGCGTCATAAGCATTTTCCATATTGTACAGTCTTTGTAATTGTAGTCTTATAGCAATGTAATTTTTAAGTGTACACGATTTATTCAGCCATTATTTCAGAGTTGGACATGTAAGTTGTTTCCAATTTTTTGATGTTATAAATAATATTGCAAAGACTATCTCTGTGCATATTCTTTAGTTACTATCTTAAAAGAGATGCCTAGAAGTGGAAACATTTTTATGACAGTTGACACATCCTGCCAAATTACTTTCATCGCTACTTGGATGATCCATAAGCTTCACAAACTTAATATGCTCCAAACTGAGCTCATCATCACCCCACCCCACCTCCACCTGTTCCTCCTCTATCTTCTTCTCTCTCGGTGATTGGCACGGCCAGATGCTCAAGCACCATCATCTTTGACTTCTGTCCTTTTCCCCACATATTCAATCCACCACGGGTCTCTGACATTTACCCTGCAAGAACTCTCATACACACCTGTCCACTCTGTTCCATCCCACTGCTACAACCCTAGTCCTAGTCACCATCACTTTCCACAGGGAGTGATGCAACAGCCCCGGGTGTACACTCATTCTTTCTCACTGTCCTCAAGGAGCCTATGTGCTGAATGAATGAATGAATGAAAAGCATTATACCAGTTTAAAAACAAGCAATTGTATATTTCAAAGTTGCTAGGAGAGTATATCTTAAAAGTTCTCATCTCAAGAAAAAAAATTTATAACTATGTGAGGTGATGGATGTTAACTAAACTGATTATGGTAATTATTTTGCATATATACACATATCAAATCACTATATTGTGCACTTAAACTCATACAGTGTGATAGGTCAATTATATCTCAGTGAAACTGGGAAAATAAGTTAATAAATAAAACACAAACAGACTACAAACATGATGTTCAAGAGAAGCAGACACTGGATTTGCTTTGTAGGTCAAAAACGTGTATTTATTATTTCTTTTGTAGAGCCAGTGAGTTTCAATATGTTGGCTTTTTAAAAATAATTTTGTATGAGGCCATGTACAACAACAACAACTGTAGGCTCTACATGCTGAAATTACTTTTCATAATCCGTTGCTTTCCTTTTAGTTAGCTTTTTGAAACGCAGAAACTTAAAATATTTATTAAGTGAAATGAGGATGATCTTTACACCTTTATGACCTTAGCCACATGTTTTCGAACTTTCAAATGTGTGTAAACAGATTAGATGGGAGCGTATTATCAAGTACAAGACTCTCAAGCAATGTTAACAAAACATGGCACCTCAACCTTTCGGGAACTGGTGTGCACTGGACAGAACTTGCTACTTATGAAGGATTTGGTTATTCTAATCTGAGCAACTCAATTTCCCTTGAGGGAAAATATACTTACTGAAGCCTTTATGCACACAATGTGGAGAACCAAGGAACGGGTGAAAAATCTAAGTCAAAACGCTGCCTTGTTCAGCAAAAGCCAGATAAATGGATCCAATGATTGTATTATTTATCTAATTGTCCAAGTAATGAATGTATTTTACTCTTTACTTTGTGTATATAGAAGATAAAAGACAGTTTAGAAGAGGAGAATGTATCCATATATGTTACATGCTGCCTGGGAACTCCTGAGCTCTTAAAAGAAAACACACCATGATTCCTGCCTCTGTTCCCCACTCCACTTCTTTGTTCTGTGCATTCCTGCAATCAATCAATCAAAAAATAAAGTGAAAAATAAAGAATAAATAAAACTAAATAAAAGACAATACAGAATAAAAAACAAAGACTAAAGGACACTTCTGGACTCTAGGTTGACTGCTTGCTTAATCCTCTCCACTGGAGAAGGAATGAACCATCTTAGCAGGAGAACTGGCACACAAGGCTCGACCCTTCTGGGGTATTCTGGCGGGGGAGTGGAATCTCCTGCTTGCAGAGAGGAGGCATTTGGGTTCAGTTTATTCTTTCAACTGTGAGGTGGGCTTAGCAGGCCCACCTGATAAAATGAAAACTTTAAACCATTTTCTGCAAAGGTCTCTAATGCTTCAGGATAAAATCCAAACAAGTTTTCCTGGTGTCCAAGGCCTGACACGGTCTAGTCTTGCATCCTTGGTAATTATCACTTCTGGGTCCCTGTCCCCCATTTCCACATGAAGTAGGTTTCCAAACCCACCAGATTTTGTCCTACCTAAGGGCTTTTGCCCAACTGTTCCTTCTCCCTAGAATCCCCCTTTCTCATTTTTTAGGCAGGCTAATTTGTACCTGTATTTTAAACTCAGATCAGGCTTCACCTCCTCCATGAACCCTTTCCAGGCAGGGACCTCAAGTGGGGAAGGAGCACTCTCTGTGACTACCTCAACTGCGGTACGTACAACACTGTTTTTTAATTATCTGATTACTTGCCTGGTCCTAACAGATTGTGAGCTTAGAATGTATTTTTTAAATCACTGTACCCTAGAGACTAATACACTATTCCCCCCTAAAAAAAATACTTAACAAATGCTCAATTATGAAAGAAAAAAATGAACCTATGTGTAGAACTTAGAAGAACAGATAGTAGACATATAGCTGCGTGGATTTCATTTATTTATATTTATTTTTATACTTATAAAAATGGACTTACATAGGCCTCCAATTTTTACCTTATCAAAGGCTTTTTTAAGAAGTTCCTATCTCATATCACCATCATTCCATAAAAGGATATTTGCACCAAAAATATAGGAGGCACATTATTTAAGAATAAAAGGTAATATTGTAAATCATCAAACATGAGGACGAATACAGCAGAGCACTATAGACTGGCCCAGGATCATGACCTTGTGTCAGAGCAGGATTTGGGAGCCACTGACTTACATTCTCCTCCTCAACTGTAACTTCTCACTGAGGCCTTTATAGGGCAAAAGCAGACAATTAATTAGAGGGAGTACTCTGTAGACAGTCTAGAGAATAAACTAGGATTCTCTGTTGCTCACTGAGGCTAGAGCCACACGCTTTGGTAACCAGAGGAAATAGTGGTAGCTTTGACAATCTCTTATAAAAAGTGAGTATATTCTTTAATCCTCACACCCCATCATTCCCTTCATAGCTACCATTTACACCACATCACTCACCCTGGGTTGGCAGTTATGCCATGCCTAGAATGAAATATGAACCTGCTCCTCTTTCCACCAGCTTTATCCCAGGCTAAATGCATCCATGAGTCCCTAGCCTCTGGCTCAGTGTCAGGAGCAAAAGCAGCACCAAGACCACACCCTGAGAGAGCACGGCTGCCCTGGGGCTATGGGGCTGGCAAGGGAAAGGGAATCTTTTCAGGAGGCTCAGCCTTCCTTTGCAGGAGCTTACTTACTTTGATGTAAATCTTTATAATTGTTTTCTGTCAGATTTAGGAGAAGTTTGATAGCTGTCAGCGAGTTTTGCAGGATCTTTAAAAAATGCACATCACGAAGGATGAGGAGCTGGGATGCCGCCGGAGGGGGGGGGGGCGGGGGGGGTTCTGGATGACTGACATTTAATGGCACTTTGGGCTGTGGAAGGGCAGCAGGTGTACTCTGAGGGTCCACTACCGAGAGCCCCTCTTCGTCATCCGCTGTTTATCTGACTACATATACCAAATGGGGAAAATCTGCCGTTAGACTGCGGCTTCCATGAGTAAAAGGAAATAATGGAGTTATTTTTTTTTTAAATCAAACAATGAGACTTACGCTAAGTATTAAGCAGAACTCACTATTAGGTGCTTAATTAACACTTTGCAGTATAAGAATACACTTTTAAATAAAATTGCAGAAAAAGAAAGGGATGTAAGGGCTTTGCTACCTCTGACTCTCTCTCTTGATCTTTTCACTATTTCATTTTTTAAAGGGATATATAGCCCACATTATTTTCAAAAGAAAGTACGGAAGCAAAAAGTTTATTACGTGAATTAAGAATCATGATACACACCATTAAAAAGAAAGGAAGGCACAAGAGATGAGTTCAGCATTGGATTTATTTCTAAATTTAAGGCAACGGGGGTAAAAAAAATTATTTTTGTTACCAGGACATTATATAACAACTAAAGAAAATAAGCAAAATAATCCCCAGGGACAAATTTTTCTTCTGGAATTATATTCAAGTAGGGTCTTATTTCATTGGTGCTCATAGAGGGACATTAGACTAATAGAGTTGGCAGTGGGTACAATTTACAGAAATGCTATTTTAAAAGACTTATCATATGAATACTTTGTAAAGGTTACAGCTTAACATTAAATTAAAACTCACGGGAAAGCATTTCAAGTTGGGAAGGGATCTGAGACAACAAGGTCCAAATACATGCCACGGGACTGACTCTCAAAGAGCTGACAGCACATGCCGCCATCTGGCAGGTGTTGTGGGTCGGTCAGCTAATGACTGAATTCTCTAACAAGCACTCGTAGGACAAAAATTCTGTTCTTATTTTAGCGTCACATGCTCAGGCCCAGCCCTAGTCTCAAAGATTCAGAATCTCTAGTAGAAATCAGAGGCCAGGAAACTATCTATATTTTTAATAAAGCTCTAGCGGCAATTCTCAGGCTAGCATAGTTGGAAGCACTGTTTTAGGTCAGAGTTTGGTTTATAGACTTATTTAGTTCTATTTAGTTGTTTCTAAAAGTGCCTCCATGGGTAGGGCCTGCGCTACTGGTTAGAGGAGGGGTGACCCCAAAAGAAAGCACAGCTATGGGAAACTACCAATGCCTGGTTTCAAGCTGCTTCCCCTAGCATCTGTTGGTCACTGTTTTAACAATTATCGTGGAACACGTTACTTTAAGAAACTGCTGAAAAGACTCCATATTTGGAGAACATTTTCAGGGAAGATACCCCTGTTCATCTCTTTCCACGGTGCGAGTTTAATTACTCAGTGGGCAGGAGAACCATGGTGCAACTCTGAGGTGAAAAGTTAAGCTCTAGAATTACGTCTTCATATAGAAAGCCAACCAACAGATAGACAGAGATGAAGCAACTGTTTTCCTCAAAGCTCTTCTACGTGTGCTTGACCGGCTTCAAAATCCGTCACTGTAACAAACGAGGTGCAGTTTATTTCTGGAATTTGTAAGTTGGACTTTCCAGCTGACTGCTTATCCCTTATCCCCCTCTGCCTCCTCCCTCATACTTCATCGATGTCTATTTGTGATCTTTTCCCTTATTTCCAACAAACTTCTCCTTTAAAGCTGCTCTTCAATTTAATTCTTCTTAATCCAGGTATTCTAGTTAATTCCAGACATCATCCGTATAAAAACGTTACCAGGAACATGGACAAAGAAGGAGTTGGAAAGGGATATGCTGCACGAAATGTGATTTACTCCATATCTCATACATTTGTAGGACTGCTTAAAAAAAAGGCAGCTCTGCCTCAACCTACACATTCGAAATTAAAGATCCAAGTTTGATTCAACATTGACCTTCGGTCCTTTCAATTCACTCAGGCATAAGGAGTGTCTCTTAACCTCTACGAGGGTGTAAGTCTTGTATGTAAGGCTTGAGAACAGGCAAATCCCTTTCAAATGCATTGTCTCGTTTCATCATAACAACGTGGCGAGAGGGTGTAATCCCCAGTGGGGCAAGAGAGGAAGCTGAGGCACAGAGGAGTGCAGCATTTTGCCCAATGTCACACAGCTTGTGAATGACAAGGCCAGGCTTTAGGAATGGGTTTCAAATCCACCCCAGCCATCAGTCACCGACACATGGTGGAAAGAATGTTAAAGGCGAAGAAATAGTTTCCTAGAATAAAGTTACAGCAGTCCGACTGTCTTTCTGCAGCTGATAACTGGGGCATCAATTTCCTTTGAAATTCAGGGCCCTAAATAATCAGCTTCTCTATGGAAGGTACGAGAGACTTAGTGCTATAATTTATGATGCTGATCCTGATCTACAATTAGATTTCACAGGACCTGGAACATCAGATATAAAGAACCATTAACGTAAACTCTTTGCCAATATAGAAAATTGCTAGTGTTTTCACGTCTTTACAATATTCGGCCATCTTCCATCTATAACAAGTTTGATAAGATCACCATATTTAAAAATCCGTATTTAATGCAATGAGATAAAGGTCTGCTTACCCCTCCTTCATGTCATTAATCGGAAGCGGAACCCTGCCGCCCCTGTCTAGGGCCGACGTGATGTTTATGGCGTTCAGACGCTCTGGCTGCCACACGTTTTTCACGGCCCCGAGAAAGTCTCCAAGAACCTCGCTGGCCAACATTTCTTCTACATTCATATTCTTAATGAAGAATTCTGCTTGATACGGTAACGGGAAGTCTAATTTTGGTGAAAAAGGGTATGCATATCTTTAATGAAATAATCTTTTGAAAGGGAAACAGAAGAACAATTCGAGATTTGTTGATTTCCGTCACAATCCTGGCTTTGGGGAACGATATTAACACTGACTTTAAAGGCTTTCTGTATAACAGAGGACATATCTAAAAACATAACATACATTTGACACAGAATTTTATCTACAATGTAATCAAATCCGGGGGACAGTAGGGCAATTTATGATAGGATTCAGCCAAAAAAGAAAAAAAGTGTCAAATGTGCCTTCAACTTGCCAGTGACCTGCCAGCTTTCTCGCCCTGCCAAAGCGCCCAGGCAGAAGGAGCATTTCCAGATCTCTACATGAGTAACAATAATATTTTGCATTTTCAGTGTTTTAAAATTGACAGATCTTTTACAAACACATCCTCTCATTGGATCACTACAACCCTAGGTAGCGCTAGTCCCATTTGAACAGAGGAGGGAGTCAGGCACAGAGCAACATCTTTTTCCAAAGAGAGAAGACATTCCAGAATATCTGCACTTGCTTGTGGGTTATTTATATATAATTCAAAATACTGTATTTTTAATTTGCAGTATTACTGATCTTTTTGGAGCATGCTAAAACATTACTTTTTACTAAAATAAATATTAATTATACTTTCAATAAGAATTCTGAAATCATACAAGTTTACTCTTTTGACCACTCCATAATTAAGCATTCTAGAGAAATTATATTTAAATTTCTCGTGAAATTCCATATCTCGCATTGTCAGAGATTTAGTCAGCTTTTTTCTTCCCCAATGTCTCAATATTTCCCTCTAAAGGTTTCAAAGTTAATATTTTAAACCAACTCAATATCCAGTTCAGACTCTCAATATAAGAAACTCCAAAGAAGTATAATTTATTTCAGTTTCTCAAATCCCACTCTCGAATTACAAACCATCATCTCCTATATTCTGTTTGTTCTAATAAGACAAAGAATAGCACTCTTTTTGTTCAATAATATTTCTGTAATAATAAAGGCGACTTTTTTTGAATACTTACTATGGGGCAGGCCAAGCTAAGAGACAGAGGTGAACTATCATATTAATACTCACGACCAGAGAGTGTGAGGTACCTGTAAGCGTCTCCATGCTCTCAGAAGGGCAAGTGGATCTTTAGAGCAGACTAGGAATTTACCATCATTTCAACTTACCTCACATGATTTTTATCTAAGCTAAAGGAGATGACTGTGTGTATACAGTGCTTACCAGAGCTCCCAGCATAGGGTAAGAACTTATAAAATATTAAATTTTAGCAATTATTATAAAATATGAAGAAGCTGATTACCTGAATTCTTCCCTTCAAAGGACAAGAAAATGTTTCTGGGACTACACATAGATTTAAAGTCCCCAGCAGTGATTACACTATGTACATCCTCTGATTTATTTCATTAAAACTCACATATCTGTGAAGTATTTCACTCATTTAATAAACAATAAAAATTATACAGTAAATAACTGAAATCTTCATGACCCCGTTTCTTATAAAGCCTCTTTAATATTAAAGTACGTTTGATGACAGAGGTGAAGTCAGGGAAAGATTGTGGCTTAGAGAGTTTTCTAGAGCGTGGTGTCTCTTCCTTAAGATTAAGTTTTTCAAGGCTCTAATCACAGGGGTTCTTTACTCATCTCCTACACTGTCATTTATTCTGCTTGTGATTTTGTTACATTTGTTTGACGTATGGCCCATCTGCAATCTTCTAAGATATGATGTATTTATTCTCTTTTATGTAGATAAGTTTCCTGTTTTATACAGATACACTTTCTGTTTTATACAGATAAACAGTAGCTTAATCATGCGACATCTTTCCCCATACCAAGAAATAGTCATGTAGAAATAATTACGACGAACAGTTTCTTGGCAATAAATAGTATTTATAAATAATACCAAATATAGTTTTTGAGTATGCTAGAAGTCTATTAATTTCATTCAGTGTTTTTACATCCACTTTTCTAAAAAAGTACGTAAAACTTTTTTCTTATTATCCATGCCACTTTTTGGAGAACTATTATTTGGCTTCTCCTAACGCACGTGACCCTGTTTCACGGCTCCTGTCTGACACCTGCCGCCGCCACGCCCTCTGAGGCTCTGGGCTGGGCAGCTGCCTGCCGTCTACTTGGCCAAGTGCTGCTGCCAGGCCTCCCAGAGATGAATCACAGTAGCTTTCTAACTTTGGGGAAATCCCATGCCTGCTATATTTGGACATCACAGAGGCCAAGGGAACAGTAGGCCAACAGCTTGGTGGCAGGCCTCTGCAGCCCTGAATCCAATTCAGAGAATCACTCTGTGTACTCTCCTTGAGCTCCATGCTGTGTGATTCCACATGACTAATTTCCCATTAGGTCTCTCAGAGCAGGAGGCAGCTGGGCAGGCAGTTGTACTAAGCGTGATTATCCTGATATTGGACTCTCGTTACTTCTTTTCCTAACCTTCCTGGGAGAAATGGCATGTGGGAGGGCTATGCTCAAAGATGTACATCCCAGTGCCCATATACATTCCATCTAGACCAGGAAGGAGAAACAGATGCCATTTGGTTCACTGGTTTTCATAGTTTTGGGCAACTGAACCCTGTGTAAAAGGCAGCAGGGCAGCTCTGCCTGAAGTAAGTGTAGAGGCTTCCAAAACCCATCTGGTCTCCCTCCCTCACCAACACACCTTCCAAACCCCTGATTTAGATAAACAGCCCCTAGAGCCAATTTTCAATCCTACAGCTGTCTAGCAGTCTTCCTTTAGTATTTGCCTGAACGCGGTCCCCACATGTCAACAACATTTATTAGGATGCCTGTGTACTCCGTGTCCACAGGTCTGAGACCAGACTTGAGAATGAGGGAGTTCAAACTCTAGACTAGGCTGTCTTTGGAGTTTGTAGAGACTGTCATAGCTCACACAGAGTTTCTGAGTCCCTCTGAGAGCAGAACAGTGAGGTTAGTGGTTCAAGCCCACTGTAATGTAACTATATAACTATACTAATGAATTCCCAAGGAGACAGGGAACTTTGCAATTATTCTGCTCATTAAGGATATTCCAATTCTATAGGGACAGCTTAGAGTGGATGCAAGCATCCAATTACAATTGGAGTCCAGAACAAAAGTCTCCGTGATCCAAACATGAATGCCTGCTAGAAGCCCTTGCGGAGTGCACAAGTGGGCGGGGAGTCCTCTGTCGGGGCCCAGAGAACTGATACTCGGAACACCTGGGAAAAAATTCATGTAAAGGCTTCAAAATCTTCTAGTAATCTCCCCAATTATGTATTAAGTTATCAATTCTACAGAGACTGCTTTCTTTCGTACAGTATAAAGGCAATTTTTAACCCAGCCTTTACTGAATTATCATGAATTTCAAATTAGTAGGTTCTGACAAAATGTTTTGTGTTTGCTCATTTGTTTTTAATTGTACTAGGAAATAGAAGTAAGAATTCCCCTATACAGGATGCACAATTGTTTTACTGTTTTCAGGGGGAAAAATGCTGTATCAATTCTTCTCCCATTACCCTCACAAGTGATATCTAGTATAGAGAGGAGAACCCCATGCTTTATAAATTTTAACTACAAAGTTTTTAGTGGTATGTATTTTTCCCAATAAAATACCAAAATAGAGTCAGCATATTTGAGAGTGTAATTATTGGAATATTTCCTGTGTCCCTAACCTTCCAAACCCCTGGGGATCACTTACAGTCTGAGCATATGTAACTCAAACTGCTGACGGGCTCTAGCAATTACAGATACGTGATTAGGTCTTTAGGAAGGAGACTGTGACTCAAATTACAGTTTATTTTGTCCATCAACAACTCTTTATATTCACATACAACTGGACTACCACCTATGATAAGTTTTAAAGTAAAATAATAAAACTAGCTAATAATTACTGATTGTACACACTGTGTTCAGCCCTGCCTTAAGCACACTTCAAGCCTTAACTCATGGAACCCTTACCCCACACTTATGAGAGAAATGCTATTGTTAGTCCCATTTTACAGATGTTGAAACCAAGGCCTGGAGAAATAAGTGGCCTATCTGTTTGGCTCTCTATCCAGAGCTCTTTAGCACCATAATACATCACGATATTTTACAACAAACTAAATATTGCTTAGTTTTCTTTTCTGCATTTTACTATTTCATAAGTTATATTAGGTATGCAGTACCTTCTTGTAAATAAGGAAATAATTAGCAACACATTTTTCCATACCTACCTTCCGCTGACATTATATTAATTATCAAATTATGCCTTGCAGTCTCAAAGGTACGCCTATTGTAGGCAGTTATCTATCAGAAAAAGAAAATCATGTTAATGAAGTGAAATGCTATTTGGAAAACGAAATTCATTAAGGACAAAATAAAAACAAATTGTCATTCTTTCCCTTTTCATTATTTGTTTGTATACTTACAAAATATTCCTTCTCTGGGCTATAAGAACTCAGCTTTTAGCAATATTATGGGAAAACAAATAATTAGTCAGGTCTATTTAACATGCTACAACAAAAAGTTAAAATCAGAAAGACTCTTTTATAGAAGCCCATTAAGTGCTAGTAACAATGCAGATGCACTATTAGTAAATGGAGTAACCATTGTGAATGACTTACCAGTGTCATTCTAAGATTTCAAAAAAACCAAAACAATATTTGTATTTTTATATGGAGCTTAAGGATTATCCTGGAAAGTTCACTTTAAAACAAGCACATCTCAGTGGTGTTTGCGTTCAGAACTAAACTGCACACCAACCAGTCAAAAAGCATCATGAAAAACCCTTTGGAAACCATATCTCGCTTGCGACGGGAGTAAAGCTGAAGGATCACAGTCTGTGAAGCTTACGGCACACGTTCAAAAACACCAATCAATCCCTTTGCAGAGTCAACTATTAGTAAACATTTGCAGAGCCAATGAACTTACATCAAAGTCAACTCAGAAACAGCCACTGCCAACAACAAACAAAGCAAAGGCCAACAACAGGATATGGCTTCAAAACTCAAGGAATAATTAACTTTATAACAGATATTAAATCATTCAGACAGGTCAGCAATACCTCAAAAAAAAAACAAATGCTTGCGTAAAAGTCTTAGCATCCCGGCACTAACCTTCTGACCGTGACTGCGGCTGTAGGTGACACCAAGACAAAAGAGCACGACAAAACTGACTCCAACTCAAGAGAGACATCTGGCACATTACAAATATCAAAGATTTTCACAGCATCACATGTGGGCTTTACATGAAATAAATTACACTCATCAGAAATAATATTTGAAAGAACAGTAAAAGTCAGAATTTTGGAATAAATAATTCCAAACCTTTAACAATATTCAAAGGTACATAGTCTGAAAAGCATATTATTCCACAAAGTTAGAAGAAATTCTTTCTCCACAATGTGTCAAATTTCTGTCGGATTTAATGACTTCCTTGCTGCTATCTGTTGGGACACATAATCAATTAGGTTCACACTGAACTCTAAGACTAGTCATTAAAATAAACTAGGAACGATTGCTCACAAAGGAGCAAGTGGAAAAAAAGGCAAAAAAGATTTGATTTGGGAATCTTCACGATTTAAAGTCTACTCTGCAAAAACCTTAATCACATTCTCAATGGAAAAAAGTATCAATCCTCTACTATTTATTATAATATCTCAAAACTAAAGCTCAGGAAGAAAGATTAGACATTTTTAAAGTAGTGGCAATATTTTTGTCTAGCCTTCCCATAATTATCACAAGTTTCATTATTGTAAATTTCATAAAGTCTAATAAGCTTTTTTTTTTTTAAATCATAGGCTACTGAAGAGAATGAAGAACCTTTCATAAACCAGGATGAAGAATTTTATTATCTAAATTTATATTTAATGTTTAATTTAACAGCTATAACAGAATGCAGTCCCTCTATCACTTCTAATGAGATATTTAAATATTGTAATATCCTCAATCAAATTTTACTTATGATGATGTGAAACCCTTCACAGCAGAGAGGTATGCCTGTGTGTGTGCACGCTTTTTTGATCCCCTATTTCTAGAATAGTGGCTGATCTACTTTAGATGCTTAATAATTATCTCCTGAATAAATTCACCAGTGGATTTATATGATCAAATATTAGTTTAAGATATGCAAAACTCTTTTGACTATATTCATAGAATATTTTTAAATACTGTAAATATGTTACTACATATGGATGTAGGAATGAGTTACAGATTAATCACTGCTTGTGTTTGATAAAACATATGTTTAATTTTAAATGATGAAAATGTATAGCATGAACTGCATTACATGTCAGTAGTAAGGTATAAGAACACAATGAACCCCTGTGAGTCCAGGCTCAACACATGGGTTTCTCGCCTATCCTAGCCCCTTGCCTCTCTCCAACCGGAAGGAGACATCTGAATCTTGTGTTTGTCATCCCATTCATTTTAAATATAGTTTTATTATAAAGGCATATACTTAAATAAGTTTGCTTGTTTCTGAGCTTTACAAAAAACGGGAAACTGTATGCAGTCTTCTGGAATTTGTTTTTTTAATTCAACATTATGTTTAAAACATTTATCCACGTTGCTGAGCAAGCTTAACTTCAGTTTTGGTGTAAACATTCACTGTGTGAATACTCCACAATTTATCTTTTCTCTTGCTGATAGGCTTTTGGCTCTCTTGCTTTGTAGGTTTCCCACGTTTTGCTATACAAACATTGCCCAAGAAACATGACTGTACATGCCTCCCAGTGGACATTTCCAAGTATTTCTTTGGGTCTGTACCTAGAAGCGGGACTGCTGGATCACAGGGTACGGCAATACTCAGCTATGTGAAATATTCAGTACTGTTTTCTGAGGTGGGTATGCCAGTTCCCATACCCACCTGCAATGAATTTTTCTGAGAGTAAAATTCTCACTGTGGTCTTAATTTCAATATTCCTCATTACTGATGAGAGTAAGCTTCTTTATTTAATTGGCATTTATGTCTCCTCTTCTGTGAAATGTCTGTTCATGTCTTTTTCTTACTGAATTGTAGGAGTCCTTTTTTATATTTTAGATACTCACCAATAGTCAGCTATATATATTTAAAATATCTTCTTCCAGTTTGTGGGTTGTCTTATTTTCCCCATGGTTTCTTTTGATGAATAGAAATTCACAAATTTAATGTAGTAAAATTCACCAATATTTCCTTTTAAATAAAAATATTTAGGTATTATTTAAGAAATCCTTCCCTACCCTAAACTCAGAAAGATATTCTTCTCCATTTTCATATAATAGTTTAAAATTTTGCTTTTCATGTTTAAATCCTTAATCTATCTAAACTTAAGTTTTGCGTTTCCCGTGAAGAATCCAATTTTACGTTTGCCATATGGCTAACCCATTGTCTGAGCACCCTTTAACAGACATCCTTTTTCCCAGTGATCTGTGGCATCATCTCTTCAGACATATATCATTATTCCTTATGTGGATGGATCTGTTCCTGAGCTCTCCTATTCATTGGTTAATCTGTCTATCCCTGTATCAATACATCCTTATGATAATTAATACAGATTTATAATAAATCTTGATAACTGGAAGGGAAAGAATCCTTTCCCCTTTTTTTCTTATTTAGGAGTGTCTTGATTATTCTTGGCCATTATCTTCTTTACAAATTTCAGAATTAGTTGCTAAGTTTCATGAAAAAAACTATTGCAATTTTTATTGGAATTGCATTGAATCTATAGACCAATCAGGGGAAAAGTGACACCCTCACGATTTTGAGACTTCCTATTGCTGAATGGACTATCTTTTCATTTATACAGGTATTCTTTACTATCAATGAAGTTTCATAATTTTCACCATACAGATGTTGCATATCTTCTGTTAGATTTATTCCAAGCACCTTATAATTTCTGGTATTGAAAAACAGTATCTTTTAAAAACATGGATTTTCTCAATACTTGTTACTGATGTAGAGAAATACAACTAAATTTTTTATATTGCTCCCATAGCTTACTGCTGGGCTTTCTTAAGATTTTAATAATCTATAGACTCTTTATATCATTGACTATTCCATTTCTTCCTTTCAAATACTTATAGATTTAATTTTTCTTTCTTTACTGCACTGGCTGGGATTTCTTATATATTGTATAATAGATGTGTTAGAGGGAGTCATCCTTGTTTTGTTCCTGATTTCAAACGGAATTCCTCTAGTGTTTTCCATTACAAAAAGGATGTTTGCTATTATTTTTGGTAAGTAACCAATCAGGCTAAGGAAGTACACTTCTATTCCTAGTTTGCTAAGAGTTATTTTTTTCTTATCAAGAATAGGTGTTGAATTTTATTAAATGCTCTTTCTCTGCCTCAATCAAGGTGATATGCTGTTTTTCTCTTTTAATCTAGTAATGTGGTAAATTACATTTATATATTTCTTTCATAACTTTACTGAATATTTTTTAAAACTATTTTGACAATAACTCAAAATTAACTGTCTTATATCTACATATATTTCTATCTTATATCTACACTGTCTTAAGGAAGTAGATTTACAGCTAGAAATCATCAAAAAATCATGTTAATACAAACTTTAATTCAAATGAAGGAACACCTTCTTCTCCCGGCCAACGTGGAAGCTCATACCCACAGCCCAAGATTAGAACTTCAGAGAAAAACTCAAAGCATGTAATCCCCCGAGAATGTGTGCCAGTTAGGAAACATGCCACCTAGACCTGGGCAAGCTCTTGGCACTTCTACTAGCAGTTCCTCTGCTGCTGTCCTGGTCACTACCAGTAAATCCTTATGGAATTGAACAGTTAAATTAGAACCTAAGATCCTGGAGGCATCAGGGCCTAAAAGTATAGGATTACTCTCCTGTCATTAATTGCCATTATAATCCTGATTTTGCTAGGTATAGTAAACAGTGAAACACTTTTAGCTTTTATATCCATTCATTTTTTAAAAACTATTAATTCTCATTAAAGGTTCAATGTCATCATTGTTTTTGTTATTGTTTTAATTTCTAATATTTTCCAGGTATGATGCTAGGTAGTGGTGAAAATCCGATGAATTCTAACACCATCATCACTTCCAAAATAAAAGTCCAACATATCAGCATGGCTTACAGAGCCCTCAAAGATCTGCCCCTACCAACATCGGCCCCTCCATTCCCATCATTCTTCCTCTGGAGTATATCCTACCCTCCAGCCAAACTTGTAAATTCTCTAAGACCATGTGGTTTGCTTTATACCTCCAAGATTTTGATGCGCTGTTTCTTCTAACTAAGAGAGCCTTCCTTCTTCTTTGTGAATTTCTACTTACCCTCTTACACGACTATGCATCAAACAGCACCTTCTTATTTTAACAGTTATGTCAGTGTTGGCTAGGTATGAGTTTCCATTCCAGTGCTTCAATCTCTGGACTGTAAGACATGGCGGGGCTCACCTGTCGTTCATCTTTCTGTCACCAGCGCCTATCATAAGACTTAGCACATGCTAGGGGCTCATAAGATGTCTGCTTAAGGACCGTATTTCAATGAACATGAAATTTGTAATTAAAATATGGAGCAAATAAGTGTCTTAAGTTTCTATTTATTTTCTTAAATAGGATTCATACTAACCTATTTCTTTTAAATGTCTTCTAATTTTCTCACTAATTTAGACTGCCCTTTTTTATGTAAAAACTGAAACAAAAAACTTTGTAGACGAACAGACAGGAATGGTACATTTCCAAATGTTATCTAGTGTGTTTCCATGCATAAAATATTGAAAACCACTTCCATGTAATTTTAATTTCAATATTTGAAACTCAAATTACAAAAAAAACAAAAACAATTTTGCTCTTTCTAAGTAAATTACCTCAATGATTGTTGGTTTCCCCACATTTTCAGCTGTTGGAGACCCATACAGGACTCCATCACTATATGGTGTCCTTTGGATATATCGAAGCCATCCAGGTCGGTCTGGGTAACCCATTAAATTTGTGTTAAATGTTATGGGATCATTACTAATTTCACCTAGATAAGAAACACAGAATTAAGATATAAAACAGTTTTTTTCACACATGTTGCTTTGGTAGTTTCAATCAAAATATTTCTGTCTAAAACTTTTTTCTTACATTTGTTGCAAACTAAATACATACCAAAAAAAAAAAAAAGCCATCTGGAAATTTAGATTAGCGTCTCACGTAAAGAAAAAGCCCTTTTGGTTGTTTAGTTTGTCTAGAAATCTGATGCAACGAAGAAAGCAGATTCATACAAAACTTTTGGAAATTTCTTTTCTTTTTTTGCAGTGGGGGTCACATTGAAGTGGGAAAGTTCTGCCAATGAGAGCTATGTTCTGGGAAAATCTCTAATCATGTTGACGTATTCATTCCTCTACAAAGCCTTCCTTTCATGAATCTTTGAACACTATCAACTAATCTTAAGGGATATCTCAAACTTATAAAAGTACCATCAAAACAAAAATAATGTAATTTTATTTATTTCTTTTTTTGAGGAAGATTAGCCCTGAGCTAACTACTGCCAATCCTCCTCTTTTTGCTGAGGAAGTCTGGCCCTGAGCTAACATCGGTGCCCATCTCCCTCTACTTTATATGTGGGACGCCTACCACAGCATGGCTTTTGCCAAGTGGTGCCACGTCTGCACCCGGGATCTGAACCAGTGAACCCCGGGCCGCTGAGAAGTGGAACATGCACGCTTAACCACTGTGCCCCCGGGCTGGCCCCCCAAAAATAATGTAATTTTAAAACAAACAAAAAAAATAATGTAATTTTAAAACACTGAAGGATGAGTTGAAAAAGCTGTTAGAAATCCAAAAGAACTGTAATAATGACATTTATTATTAGTAAACAATAACAACAGCGTCATTTGTTAGCATGGGCCTGGTCCTGTTTCCTGGCTTCTGTAGGCACCATTTCATCTGATGTTCAAACATACCTATAAAAGTAGTACTATCATTAGCCCTAATTTTATTGATGGAATGTGAAATTTTCCACGTTAAGTAACTTCTCCATGGTCATACTAAGTGGTGAAACTAGAATTTAAACTTGGTTGACTCCAGAAACTATCTTAATTGTTTTCTTCTAAATGTTGGAGCTGTTTGCAAACATAAAATGCAACATAAAAAGACATTTTTTAAATAACTGATGAAAACACTACCTTTTTTTCTTGAATGCTGGTGAGAATACATTTAACTATATTTTATGAGTCTTCTCAGGTATGCTATTCATCATAGAATCTATAAAAATATTATATTAATTCTAATACTATAATTTTCAGAAAATTAATTTTTGTTACTTAAGAGTTATAATAATATTTTTTCTTGCTATTCTTTCTATATCTTTATTAATTGGATGGCATTGGCGACAATCCAACATAACATAATTTAAACCAACAGTGAATTAAATAACATTTCATAATTGCTATTACTTTGAATAAAAAATTAATCTCCAGGGGCCGGCCCAGTGGCACTGTGGTTAAGTTCGCACGTTCTGCTGCTCGGCAGCCCGGGGTTCACCGGTTCGGATCCTGGGTAAGGACACGGTACCGCTTGGCAAAAGCCATGCTGTGGTAGGTGTCCCACATATAAAAGTAGAGGAAGACGGGCACGGATGTTAGCTCAGGGCCAGGCTTCCTCAGCAAAAAGCGGAGGACTGGCAGTAGTTAGCTCAGGGCTAATCTTCCTCGGAAAAAAAAAAAATTAATCTCCATTATATTATTATGAAGTCACATAAAATTCTCATGTTGCAAAAGCTTGAAAACTCTTTCTTAACACCATATTTCATTCTCTTCTACAACACATGTATAGTTTTCCAAAAATCAATGTACTACGTAAGAATCTAAGCCTTAATGTGGAAAATCGTAATTGTATAGCTATAATTATTTCTATGCGAATACAGGGAGATCATTTGCCAGAAGCATGAAATTCAAGACTGGGAAACCAGAAATATGCTTTCTTTAAAATTCAAAAATGAATTATTTCCTTTTGTAATTAAATTTCTAATCTTAAAATGGGAAATATACTACAACAATTTATCACGCATCCAGACCATTCCAAATAATGTTCCTAATATCTGATCATACATCATCTAGATTACGCACATTGAACAAAAAGAACAATTTAGTAAATTAATCACTTTTTTCCCCCACCAAGAACATACCAGGTTTTGGGTAAGGCGGAAATTCCCCCTTAAAATATTCTCTTTCCAAAACATGAACAAAGAGGACACCTGCAGATGGGTACACATTCCGATCAGAGTGCACTTTCGAGAAAATAGTGTACACTGAAAACAAAGAGGAAAGATAAGAGAAAGACAGACAAATAATGAGATATGCTTTTGATAATTCACTTACACTGTGAAGAAGGGTTTCACCACGCAGAAATTTCTGGGAAAACTGAGGCAACGTGCAAGATATTGTTAACAAGTTTGTTTTAAAAGGAAGTGATTTTAGGACAAAACACAGAACAACTCTTCCAACTTGGTGTGTTTAGAGACTTTTCAAATACTATGTAAACAAAATTAGGTACATTTAACATTTTAACTTGTTATTAAATAATGAAGACATCTATAATATCTTTTTGGTAATTTCTTTTAATAGGAATTATTACTAACGAAATACATCATGAGAACTAACCAACTACATAATTGCTACATTTTATTTTTCTCTTTTTCCTTTTTTTCAAAGCAAAGAATAAGGAACAATTTTTAAATCATAAGACTCTATACCGTATTAACTGTTTGACAGTTAAGACAAAGCCCATCAGACTATGTAACACCAACGATACATGTAAGGTGACTTTCATATATACTTATAGAAATGCACTAGATACTTTTTCGATCAGTATTATTCCCCATATCTCTCCTCGAAATGATTTATTCCATTTTACCTCATCTTGACATTTAACAATTCACACAATACATTGTACTATGCTACATCCTAAATAAGCAATAACTACATAATAAAATTTAGTGCAAATAATTTCTTGAAGTGAAATGAGGCAGATTTCATGATTTCCCGGTTACTTAAGATGTATACTGCAGGTACATTAAAATGGCCAAATTGGTTTGATTAGGTTTCCCCTATTGTTTTTCCTCTGATTTCATCATCTCCACCTACACATTACTGCCATTACCCTTGTCACCTCTACAATCCCTGTTGGTTTTCTATCTTCCTGATCGGCTAGTGGTTGCAATTTTTAAACAGATAAACTCTACCAGGCCAGTTCTTTCTCTTAGTCACTGATAGATTTGTAAATGTGGTAATTACGCTCAAGAACTCCAAGGCTGCTCACTCCAGGCTCACAACTAACTAAAATCCCTGAATAGCAAGATCACACCGACAGCGAAGTTTTCAGCATAAAAATAGGAACTCCCACAAAATGTTTCTTTATCTATGAAAATCTGTCCCTGCAGTTCTGTGGATGGCTGCCAAAAAAAGGGAACGGAATGAAAATATTTGGCTTGTAGCTTCACGTATCTATTGCTTTACTACTAAAAACACAACTTCAAAGGCTTTGTAACAGAGGGAAGGAAGCTGCAAGTTAGGTTTATACTAGGTATGCAGGAGACTCGTTCTTTCCCGACTTGTACGAATCTCTGTAAGTAGTGTTCCCTTGGCATTTAGAGCACCCAACTTCTACCCAAAAACAATTTACTCACCTGTGGAAATGGTCCCATTCCAAAAACGAAAATGAATGAATCACAGAAAAACAAGATGAGCATTTGAGGTTTTTCACCAGTTGGTTTCCACAACATCTCCTGAATGCTAGGTGCTGCGGGGAACGTGAAGATGAAGGAGACGCAGTCCCTGCCTTCCAGAGTTCACCATCTGGTTTGGGGGACCACCACCCACCTAACTAGGTATGATCCAGAGGTGTGAACTACTCTGGCAATACCTGGAAAGACGGTGAGCAGCATGGGAGGCTGGAAAGATCTGGAATAGATTTATGTAAGAAGTAGAATGTGATACGGCTCTGAAAGTACTAGTAAGGTTCTGAAACTCAGAGATGGAGAATGCAGGCATTTCAGCAGTGAAGACGTGCAAGATACAATCATGGGATACTGCGGGGCCTTTTCAAGGAAGGGAATTAAGCCAGCGATGCTATGTTCTGGGGTGCGTTTAAGGTAGGGGGAGGAAAACTGGGAAGAGAAGTCAAATTATGCAGAGTTGTGAACTCCTGCTGAGAAGTTATTTCATTCTATACATAAAGGTGTTTAAATCCTAGATCACAGTCCTACATCCACAGCACAGGAATATTCTGAATAATCTGAAAGAATCTCTTCACAGCTTACCTAATTTATTCTTTCTAGAGATGAAAAACCCCTTGAACTCTAGCAGTGGATTTTATTTACCTTAGTTATTTTCTCGGCACCTGGAAGGTGTCTGGCAATATGTAAATAATTTTATCAATGCCTACTGCATGGATGAATACATAATCTAGAGCACTGTAGAGGTAAACGCAGATCTCATGTTTGTGGACTAAATATATATAATACTTAATTTAAACTTCAGTTTTATAACTTGAATTAATTCTCATATGCATGTAGCAGCTTATAGGTTATCATCCTCCATTTACATTATAAACTACAACAGTCTCCTTTAGTTTTTGCTGCCCTAAGGTGGTAAAAGCTAGCTTATAAAGCAAAAAGAAAGGTTGTTCACATTAAACAAAATTGAAATGATTCTATTTTCTATACAGTCCTTGGCAGGGCCTGAAGTGGAACCATAAACGGGTACTGCCACTGCCTATCACCTCACTTCAAGGACTACTATAGAACATCTTAGATTCTGCTTTCATAAAAAATATTTCTGTGATCTACAGAGCCAAACCACAATCTACCATGGCCCTCCTGGGTTTAAAGATGACATGCACATTTCTTTATTCATGTGTACTCAATTGCCTTCTGCAATTTGCTGAACTGCATACTTGCTGGTCAGTTACCTTGGCAACTCCACAGTAAAGCCTGCTTCACTTTAAGAATAGTATGCCATCCACTTTGAGAAAAACATGATACAGATGTATGACACATTCATCATCTAGAAATGGAAAATGACTAAGCCACTATGTTTTGTTTGTAAAAATAATACTTCCTTTCTGGAGCATCAGTTTAAATTATGGGTACCCACACAACATTTCAGAGAAGCATCCTGTACCTTTTCCTTTCCCATTTGTTACTTGCAAAACAAATAGCTCTTCAACAGAGGCTATTTGGGCAGTGTTTACACTTAGCCACTTAGCCTCCTTTTGAAAACAACAAATGACACAGAAAATTCAAAGTTATAGGGTCTTGTTCTAAACACGGGCTCTATAAATAATGCTGATAGGGTCTGCACCAACACCAACAAAGGCTGTTACTAACAGTGAACACATGTTGCACGCACATATGTCTAGGTAGTACTCACAAACAGTAGGCTTGAAGCATACTGTTGTCCTTAAAAGCAAGTCTTGAAAATCAAATGTAAACACTCTAAGAATCCACAGTACTAAAATCTAATAATCTCTGAAATATACATGTGTACAGTGCCATGCTAATCAAGTTGGTGTCCTAGGGTCTGGCCTCTCTGTGTCGCATGGTTTTGCAATCGTCTGTGGCTAAAAATCCATTACCTCTGCAAACACATGCCACTGGATACAAACGAAACCGGAAACCAGTGTGTGGCTAAACCCGTGCAAATCCATCACCATTAGTGGGAAACACAATTAAACCAAAGTCCAACCCACAGGAGAGTCAAAAACATCATCTTCACACAGCAAGGCAGCTAGATTGCAAAGATTAAAAATTGCAGATAGGCAGTCATAAATAATAGATTCTTTTTTTTTTTTTAGGAAAAATTACATATCTGAGTTGAGAAGAGCAAAAGGGTATGTGGGCAAGTGGATGGGGTAATTATTTCACCCTCCGTAAATGTAGCTCCAACGTCCCTCGTTACCACACCATCAAAATCTTTCCACAAAACTATTGTCTGTATGTTTTAGTCATAAGGTATAGAAACTACGGACCATTTCAACAATGGATACTATATGACAGCAGAGAGCCCAGAACCAAGCAACAGACGGTTATGGCGGTTAGCAATAAAGTGGAACCTCATGCTAGCTAAACAGCATTCTGTCTTCCTTTATTAATAGTCCCTTTGAAATTTTATCCTTACAGGAGAAACATCATGATGAAAATACGAGGGTGTGCACTTGTGTGCTTATTTACAATTACTTAAAAACAAAAGCAAATTTGGATGTATTTCGTAAACATTAAATTTTGAAAGGATTAAGGTGGTGCATTGCTAATGAATCTGTGGCATGTAACTTCACAATTACCACAATGATTATTCTTAATGGCATATGTACGTGCACAGGCACGTACAAAGTCCCTTCTCTACAAAAAAGTCCAGAGAACACTTACCAGCCCTTTTTCTGCATCACCAAGGACAAGTACATGGCTATAAAGATAAACTAGCTGCTGAGTGTGAGATCCTGTAAGTGCCAGTTAGATTTAAATCTTAAAGCCATCTCTCCTCTGAAATCTTTGAGAAGAAAATCACAAAGTAGTGTCAGTATTCACGTCCAGATGACCTTTATTAGGTACCCATTATGTGTATCTCTCTCTCAGAGATGCTTTATCAACACATTAAAAGGTCCATTTATATAATCATTTTCTAATTTTTAAGGTTTAAGAGAATATGGTAAAATCTCAGTTTACCAGGAACCCCAAGGAAGGAAACATTTCAGAGAGCTGAGTTTTCTAAAGTACTCCACGGTCAATCCTCTTTCTTAACGGCATAAGATCGTCATTTGGCACATCAATTACTGCACTCTGCTCTACTATCCAGTGACACCCTTATGGACTATTTGGTTGCCTTGTCATTTACTGATAGCACTAGCACTAGCAGGTCCTAGTCTGCTAATGTTCTTTCAGGTTGCATGTTTTATAGATTTTCTGTTTTCGCATCTGTAGACAAGTTGTCGGCTGTCATTTCTCATTGCTATCAGTATGTTTCCTATAGCAGTTTCTCTATCCCTTCTAATTTGCTGCTATTAATCTGCTTCAGGTTTAGAAACCAGACTACCAAACGAGGTGAGATTGCACGTTAAAGTAAGAACAAATTTGTACTGTCGTAATGCACGTGGGGCTCTGGTAGATGTGAAAAACAGGAGCCTGCATTTGTAGCATCTATTTTGGCTACCCAAAGACCCTTTTGTGGCATATTTCCTGGTTCTTAGTTGATGCAATATACTTCTGAATAGACGATCCTACTATAATTGGGATATAGCCATCACTTGAGGAGA